AACACCACCTTCAAACACTGCTCCTTGTATTGTTGACACACCACAATATCCCACACTCTGCTCTTTGTATTGTTGAAACACCACCTTCAAACACTCTGCTCTTTGTATTGTTGAAACACAACCTTATCACACTCTGCTCTTTGTATTGTTGACACACCACCTTTAAACACTCTGCTCTTTGTATTGTTGACACACCTCCTTCCCACACTCTGCTCTTTGTATTGTTGATACACCTCTTTCCCACACTCTGCTCTTTGTTTTGTTGACACACAACCTTCCCAATCTGCTCTTTGATTGTTGACACACCACAATGTCCCACACTCTGCTCTTTGTATTGTTGACACACCTCCTTCCCACACTCTGCTCTTTGTATTGTTGATACACCTCTTTCCCACACTCTGCTCTTTGTTTTGTTGACACACAACCTTCCCAATCTGCTCTTTGATTGTTGACACACCACAATGTCCCACACTCTGCTCTTTGTATTGTTGACACACCACAATATCCCACACTCTGCTCTTTGTATTGTTGACACACCACAATATCCCACACTCTGCTCTGTGTATTATTGACACACCACATTGTCCCACACTCTGCTCTTTGTATTGTTGACACACCACAGTATCCCACACTCTGCTCTTTGTATTGTTGACACACCACAATATCCCACACTCTGCTCTTTGTATTGTTGACACACCACAATATCCCACACTCTGCTCTGTGTATTATTGACACACCACATTGTCCCACACTCTGCTCTTTGTATTGTTGACACACCACAGTATCCCACACTCTGCTCTTTGTATTGTTGACACACCACAATGTCCCACACTCTGCTCTTTGTATTGTTGACACACCACAATATCCCACACTCTGCTCTTTGAATTGTAGTCACACAACCTTCCCACACTCTGCTCTTTGTATTGTTGACACACCACAATATCCCACACTCTGCTCTTTGAATTGTAGTCACACAACCTTCCCACACTCTGCTCTTTGTGTGTTGTCTTGTCCATGTTGGTTCCAGGGCTCTGTTTTGGAGAATAACAAATAGGCCCACTGCCCCAACAAGAATATCCTAGGAGGAAACTAAGTTATGCTACTGTATGTGTCAATGTCTATGTCTGTGCCTATGTCTGTCTGTGTAAATGTCTATGTCCATGCCTGTCTGTGTCAATGTCTATGTCTTTTAGTCTCAGGTGCTGTTATGTCTTTTTCTTTTTTTTTTTGTTAAACTATTTTATTAATTTGTTTTAATGTCTTGAGTTCAGTTGTCTTTCTTTCTATTAGTATGTCTAGTCAACTAATGGATATACTCTTACATCTATTGGTATGTCTAGTCAACTAATGGATATAGTCTTACATCTATTAGTATGTCTAGTCAACTAATGGATATAGTCTTACATCTATTGGTATGTCTAGTCAACTAATGGATATAGTCTTACATCTATTGGTATGTCTAGTCAACTAACAGATATAGTCTTACATCTATTAGTATGTCTAGTCAACTAATAGATATAGTCTTACATCTACCTATTCACATGTAGCATTTTATAAGTCATGTCTTAGTTTTTACTTTGGAAATGTGTATTTCAACCTACTCTTTCTTGATATATTTCAAACATTTAATTAGTGATGGCTTATTTTATTTGGCTCTAAATACTCTGAGGGTTAAAATTTGTGAACAGTTTTATAATCCCAAGATACCAGGTTTTGCAGGCAAAGTTTTAGCAGACTGATTTGCATTGATTTTTACCAAAATTGTATTTTATCTTTACTAATGTCCAGGCTAAGATCGCCTTCAATGTTTCCCTTTTTTTAATTATTTATTTGGAATCCTTGTTGGTTCATTGATTGTTGACTTCCAGGACTTGCGGGATGCTCCCTGCTGATCTCCAGAGGGTGATTCCAATGTGACAGTTCCATGATCTGCCCTTGCCTTTCCTTGAGGGCCAGTCTGTCTACATGCAATGCCAGGCATGGGGGTCTCCAGGGGCAACACCTGTAGACAAGGGGACAAAAAAGGCCACCACACAAACAAAGCCACAACATATCCCTGTCCCATGAAACTATAGGGAAGTCCAACAGATGCTCGACAAAGTTGTATTTGTCAGCCGAAAGACTCAAATATCACAGCTCTGCTGTAAACAGGCATGATGCGATTACGTCACTCGGACGAACAAAAAAAAAAAGATTGTTGACTTCACTGTAATTGTTTTATTTAAGTTTTTACTTCTTGCAATGCCATGAATTGGTATATATCATCCGTGGCTAAGTCTGACTCATAATCCAACATACCACGATCGAAACCCACTGCGGGCTGCATGGATTTTTATCATGGTATGGGATGTCGCAGGTTGACCCAGCCTCAAATGGGTACCAGGATGGCTGTCCTGGGGAAGTAAAGACGGCCGGCGTAATGCTGACCACATTACACACTGAGTGCCGATTGGTCTTTAAAATTATGGGTGCTCTTCCCATATGCCCGATGCGCCTAAGGGCGTGTAAAGGGATCTTTACTTTACTTTTATCCGATTAAAAAGAGAAATTTTGTTAAAACATTATTTTAGAAAAATCGCTAAAGCCACAACTGATAGTAGTGAAACTAATTTTGCAACTTGTGTTAAACAGGGCGAGCTGTGTATAAATATACATCAGCAGTCTTGCTAACACAGTACCCAGGTTGTTTTTTTTTTTTCCACTGACTGGAAATGTTCACACAAAAACATACCAAAGAGGAGAGGGAGTCTGAATGTTGACATGTGGGAATTTAGTCAATTCTAAAAGTTGTGGACTACCTCCCCCCTCACACCCCCCCCCCCCCCCCCCCCCATCAGTATGCATGGATTCATTCACTCATATCCATTTATAGGAAGTGACTACAAAATACAAAGCAGTAATATGGTTTATTAGAAAACAATTTTATTCACTCATTTTCACTCATAAACAAACAACTCCCAAACTGCCAGCAACTGTGATTCCGCCCACGTGTGATCCTACATATTATGTGAAACAATATGGACTGTCCAATTTTTAAATTTTTTTTAAATTTTAAACTTGACACTTCAACTGAAATTTCTTCTTCCAGTCGATGCCTTTGGTGTTGGTAGTCATGTCTATCCACAACCTTCTTCCAGTCGATGCCTTGTGGTGTTGGTAGTCATGTCTATCCACAACCTTCTTCCAGTCCATGCCTTGTGGCATTGGTAGTCATGTCTATCCACAACCTTCTTCCAGTCCATGCCTTGTGGCGTTGGTAGTCATGTCTATCCACAACCTTCTTCCAGTCCATGCCTTGTGGGGTTGGTAGTTCATGTCTATCCACAACCTTCTTCCAGTCCATGCCTTGTGGGGTTGGTAGTCATGTCTATCCACAACCTTCTGTCTTGCATTGCGGACCTGAGCATTTGTTTAACTCCAACACCACCAAGAGGAGGTCGAAAAACTTTAGCTTATACAGAAATAATCATCACAGCATTCGTTCATTTAAAATTACTGTCTACAAAATGGCTACAATAGTTAAAATGTTTTCTAAATATGAAAACTACAACAGAGCAAGATGTCAACCAACTGTCACTGATACCAAACACTCCCAGATAAGCACAATCATCATTATGTGCCCTGTCAATAAGTATAGGCTGTCATGCTTCCCATCTCTATCAATCCCCAGAATCATGGATCAGGCCAGTGTTCTTCTTTGGTTCCATCCAAATGGCCAAGCCAAGCATCCAGGTACGTATCTCTCTGAGTTCTGCCTAGTTCTTTTTTCCATCAATCTTGCCAGTTGTCACAAAATTCTCCATCCTAACATGTCCAAAAAAAACACTGATTCTTTCAGTTTCCTTCTTCTAACCAGTTTACGATTTTCAACCGTCTCTGTTTTTCTATCATTCCATGATGTTTGCATTCTTCTCAAAAGCCACATCTCAGCTGTGAGTGAATTTGTCTACATAAAGTCCACACAGTGTCTATGTTGCACTTTAAACACAATTTTTTTTCACTGCAACAGACATCTTTGCAAAAGACAATACATTTCTAGTAAACAAATATTCAATATACAGCCATAGTGGCAAACGAGACAGGTTTATGAAGCAGGAACAAATGAGAAAAGAACAATACAAGTTACAAATAACCAGATATGAAATGAACAAACAAGATGAAAGTATCAATGGTTCATTTTGAAGTAGTCCAAGGCTGAAGGACTGTACGCAATAAGCAAAATGGTTCTCATGCAGAAGTGCTGGCCAAAAACAACAAGTTAGTGCAACATAAGAGAGCAGGCTGGCCCTAACAGCCTCTATCGAATGGAGTCCTTAAACGTTTCTTTCAGATTTAAAGTCATGAAGATCGAATTCGCTGCACAGTTTGAACCCATATGGCTCGGTCTCTCTACGCACAACAGCAAGCAACCTACCAACAGAGTTGTACAAAGCATGATACACATAGCTCTTGTGACAATCCCCAGGGATGTTTCATAACAACAGGAGTTGTGAACCAAACTCACGATCTTCAGATAGAAACTTCTCAACCAAATTGCCACAGAGACCGTCTTTAATGTTTCTTACAGAATATCCTTAAATGCTACCAGAGGCCCCCCTTGTGGGTTTCGGGGCCCTATTATACGGAAAACAAAAATAGACCCGCTGCCTATCCAAAAGCATGTTGTAAGAGTTGACTAATTGGGAGCTTCCTTCAAAGTCAGAGTGCATCTGCCAGAGAGGCAAGAATCCAACAGTCTGCACACAAATGAGAACTGTCAAACGGATGCACACGCAACACCCAGGTTTTGGAACAGGACTGCAGTCCAGAAGTGGACAAACAACCAGAAAATTCTGCCGGAGTTTACAGCTGGTAAACGTGAAGAAGAGGAAGAAGCTACAGAGTTTGGCAGAAATAAATCTTCCCTTGGAACCTCAGGTCAAACTACAGAATCAATCAAGAAGAAATTAAACACAAAGTAAAATATGTAATGTTGGTTTGGAATCAAGCCGGGTGTTGTCTCATTCACTGTCAGAACCAGATTTCCGACCCTGGTCATCACTGTCTCCTCCAGCCTTCTCTCCATCAGATTTGTTTTGTCGGTCCCCTGCCTCATCATCAGAGCCAGCATGAGACCTGGCTGGTGAGCCGGCCTCAGATGCAGACTTCCTGTCTTTACTGCCAGACCTTGACCTGCTTCTGGAACGTGAGCGAGATTTAGATTTTGACCTTGACCTAGACCGGTCACTGCCAGAGCGTGACCTAGACCTTGAACCAGACTTTGAACGGGATCTTGACCTATTGGAAGCTCTGGCGTCACTGTCTGACCCTGATTTTGACTTCCGCCCTCCACTTTCAGCATCGCTGTCACTGCCAGATTCAAGTATCCTACGCCTCTTGCCAACTTTACCTGTGGTCTCGCTGCCACTACCACTGCTGCAAATAAATAAACAAGCAAAAATCTATAAAATGTTCATGCAAAGAAATTATTACTGATATGCAAATTTACCCTTCACCATTTACCACTGGCAAAGACACTTCATGCAACCGCTGTACTGAAATTTGACCTTGTGGGAGCTCAGGGGCACCTTGTAGGAGAAAAGAACAGGCCCCCGGGCCCTCAACGAAGCATGCCATAAAAGATTTGGAGAGATAGGATGTGTTGGTAAAAAATATCCAGATATCACCGCCTAGCTGCAGCCCACCATACAATGTGCTAAACACCCCTTTAATGTGCACAAGGAACAATGTGTTAAACTAAATCTATGTTCCCTGTGTGGATTCCAGGGCTACAGTGGGGAGGAAGAAAGAGAGAATGGTAGACAAGCTATCTCTTAACAAGCACATATAACAGGTTTTTGAAACTGAACATGTTGTGCCAAAACAGGCAGATATGGCACCCTTGCTGTAAACCACACTATATCAGACTATATGTTTGGTTAACCCAGGAGACAACACATCAGCTGGTCAGACTATATGTTTGGTTAACCCAGGAGACAACACATCAGCTGGTCAGACTATACATTTGGTTACACAGAAGGCAACACATCAGCTGGTCAGACTATATGTTCTGTTACCCAGGTGACACCACACCAGCAGTAAATGTTACATTTATATCACATTTCAAAATGATACAGCTATAGAACATTGTTAATGCTGGTGCGATGATGCAGAGAAATAAAGGTCAAAAGTAAGGGGTAAATGAAACACATATTTTTCATCATCAGCAGGCAGAACTGTATCAGTTCAGGTGCTATCACCTGTCCATGCCAGGGACAAGAGGCTGCAAGAATCTTTCCACGTTATCCTCTTTATCTTTTCCACAAATCTTTCCAGCCTGTCACATGTTCCAATGTATTTCTTCTCACTGTGCAGCCAAAAAAACTGATAACTGTCTCTTTCTAAAGTTTATAATAAGTTGCCTTTGGGTCTTCATCTTTTTCAAAACATCTGGATTACTCTTAAACTGTCCAGGAAAATGTAAGCATTTTTTTGTATAACTTTATCTCTGATTGTGTATGCCCATTTACAAATGTTTCCCTCACAGACATGCATACAACCGTAGCTCCACAAAAACTACTTCAGGTTATAAACAATAACAAACAACACAGATACTTACTCTTCCATTCTCTTCTTCCTGGTGTCAGAATCGGAGCCTTCACTGGAAGAAATGACAGCTTTAGAGACAATTTTTCGCCGCTGCTTGGCTGTGAGTCCATCTTCGTCTTCTTTCTGTTTCTTCTTTTTAAATCCCTTTCCTTCTTTGCCCTTGCCTCGTTTTCTCTTGCGGTCACCGCCACCCTCATTTTCATCATCACTGTCATTGACAAAGTCTTTCTTGGACCTATGGAACAAAGACAATAATGATGCAGCCATCTCTAAATGACACCTAATTGCTAATAGCTTTCAATTCTTATATTTTCTAATTTGCTCTCTTTTATCTACTTCCTTTCTTTCCTTGCTATGAATGTCAATTAGTCCCTGTGAATTCATTTTTCTAGCTAATCAGTGGTGAAAGTAAAGTCGGGAGATGTGAACCAGGGTCATTGCACACGGTCATAGACTATAAGTGCTCTGCCACCGGTCTCTCTACTTCTGATAAGAAATTGTCCACCTGTGTCGCCATCCCCACGTAGCTACAGTGAGGTTTCTTCATTTACCCCAGAGTTTCAACTCTGGTACCCATTCTCTAGAGGCTGGGTGAACCCTGGGAACCGCTCGGTTTCGAACACTGAACGTGGCTGCAGCGAGTCGCAGCTGGATTTGAAAATAAGTCTCCTATCAACTGCGTTAACGAGGCCCCCCTCATATACCAGTGGTCTCAAAGGTACCCCATCAACAAACACTAATAAAAAGCTTACAGTTGACTATGTGTTGGTACACAGCTGCTATCTGTTGCACCCAATCCTGTGCTACAGAGATTAGTTAATTTATATACTCACTTTCTTTTTGTCTTTCTCTTTTTCTTTTGTTTGTCTCCATCCTCATCGTCTTCTCCAGAACCACTGGAAGATCTCTTCTTCTTTTTCTTTCTCGGCTGATCGTCCTCGCTGCCCTCAGACAGTATCTCCCCATCCTCAGCTCGCTTTAAGCGCTGTAGATACAGTGAAGATAACAGGCTCATTAGTTAAAGTCAAAACAAATACTGAATATCACTTACCCAATTCCTTGTGAGGGTTGCCGGTTCCCATTGTGCGGAAAACAAGAGTAGACTCACTGTCTACACACCCAAAATATGTCTTAAGAGTTGACTAAATGAGAGCTTTCTTCGAAGTCGGAGTGCATCTGCCCAAGTGGCAAGGAACAACTAACTGCACACCAATAAGCCAGTGATAAAACGGATGTACATGAAAAACTCAGGCCCTGGCACAAAGTCAAACTGCAAATGGACAAAGAAGCAGACTTTTCTGCCAGAGCTTACAGCCGTTGAATAACGAAGAAGTAGACATACACAATAACTTCTCTCTTTTGTCCATTTTCTGTCTGATGCTGCTAGGCGTCACAGGTTAACAGATGATCAGTTTCCGAGCTAGGTTTCGCTCGGTTGGCCTGTATGCTGTGAAGTCTCAAGAAATCAGTGACTCCTTCAATCCACTGGTCGTCCTTTACCTCCTGGTGTTTCTACATAGACAGTCTATATTTCTCCCATTCTTATCCACTTCTCAAATACGTCTAATGTGTAAAGTGGTGATGACTGCCTCTATCCCAGAAGGCATTCATTCATTAGGATGTGCACGTGATGTCTCCAAGTGTGAGAGTAAAGCTTTGGTGCTGAATATCTACCAACATCTTGCTGATTTACATATTATGCTCTTTGAGTCCCAAAACTGAAGTGTGTGGTCTTCGGCAAACTTCATCATAGTGGAAACTGTCTCGGAAAGCCAAGGAGAAACCACTTCATCCCAGTAATACATTTGGTATGTTAGTGTTAATATTCTGTACTTCACTGGTGGGCCATGTAACTCAGACAAAGTATTATCTTAGAAATATGTAATACTGAATGGCTTTTTAAAATAATTTGTCCTTACGCCAGTGTGTGTACTTGGGGAAGGGGGAGGAATAGACCCACTGTACACATGCCAACCGGATGTGCAGGCAAAATTCAAGTTCTGAAACAAGATTAAACTGCAGAAGTGGACGAAAAACAAGAACTTTCCACCAGAGTTTTCACCAGAGTTTACAATTGGTAAAAGCTAAATAAAAAAATTTTAAAAATTGGAGAGGAAATAATGTGTCCTGTTTCATGCTGCACTATTGCACTATTACTGTCCTTGAATTTAACTTTATAGATTTCCCACTACTATACTGTAAATTGTTTTTGATTTTTTCATTTCTGTAACTATTTTTACATTTCTTGTTTGCACATAACATGAAATAACTTCAGCGTCACCAACACTACAAGACTCCCGGCGCACTAACGTTCTACAGAAACAACAAGTTTTTGTGTTTACCTTTTCCCCAGACTTGTGGGGTCTGTCATCAGGTTTAGGTTCACTAACGTTCTACAGAAACAACAAGTTTTTGTGTTTACCTTTTCCCCAGACTTGTGGGGTCTGTCATCAGGTTCAGGTTCACTAACGTTCTACAGAAACAAGTTTTTGTGTTTACCTTTCCCCCAGACTTGTGGGGTCTGTCATCAGGTTTAGGTTCACTAACGTTCTACAGAAACAAGTTTTTGTGTTTACCTTTTCCCCAGACTTGTGGGGTCTGTCATCAGGTTTAGGTTCACTAACGTTCTACAGAAACAACAAGTTTTTGTGTTTACCTTTTCCCCAGACTTGTGGGGTCTGTCATCAGGTTTAGGTTCACTAACGTTCTACAGAAACAAGTTTTTGTGTTTACCTTTTCCCCAGACTTGCGGGCTCTGTCATCAGGTTCAGGTTCACTAACGTTCTACAGAAACAACAAGTTTTTGTGTTTACCTTTCCCCCAGACTTGTGGGCTCTGTCATCAGGTTCAGGCTCACTAACGTTCAACAGAAACAAGTTTTTGTGTTTACCTTTCCCCCACGGGCTTTCCCACCAACGTTCAACAGAAACTTTTTGGGTTTCCTTTCCCCCAGAATTGCGGGCTCTGTCACTCACCAACGTTCAACAGAAACAAGTTTTTGTGTTTACCTTTCCCCCAGACTTGCGGGCTCTGTCATCAGGTTCAGGTTCACTAACGTTCTACAGAAACAAGTTTTTGTGTTTACCTTTCCCCCAGAATTGCGGGCTCTGTCATCAGGTTCAGGCTCACCAACGTTCAACAGAAACAAGTTTTTGTGTTTACCTTTCCCCCAGAATTGCGGGCTCTGTCATCAGGTTCAGGCTCACCAACGTTCAACAGAAACAAGTTTTTGTGTTTACCTTTCCCCCAGACTTGCGGGCTCTGTCATCAGGTTCAGGTTCACTAACGTTCTACAGAAACAAGTTGTTGTGTTTACCTTTCCCCCAGACTTGCGGGCTCTGTCATCAGGTTCAGGCTCCAGGTTGATTTTCTTGGCTTTCTCCACGAAGACAGCTCTCTGTTCTAGCATCTTCTTCTCTAGTTCTTCCTTCTGTTTCAGTTTCTCCAGCTGGTGAATGACAGGCACAATGTAGTTATAAAGTCAGTACATTACAGGATTTTGGTCTGCACACAATGTAAACACTGCAAAATATCTCCAATGGTGAGATGGGCAAATGTAACCAAACTGGTCAGCCCACCCAAATCATGTCATGTGTTCTAGAAATCCATGTTTTTAATCAGTACTGGATTTTGTATGTTTGTATGCTCTGTACATTTACAGAATACAAAATTCTGACTCACAAAATTAAATTGTTACTGGCCAAAAATACTCAACTAATTAAACCTTTTTTTCCCCCCATAAATGTATCCTTTTCCTAGTTTACTGACCAACTTAAAAAACCTGTATTTGTAGGCCCTTCTAGCAGGTTACGAAGGTGGGGGTGCAGGGGGGAGTGGCTAGACTGAAGCACAGCTCATTGCCATTGGCTGTTCAAATGGACAGAGGCCTATGCCTACCTTATTAAAGGTACAGAATGTCCCTAAAAGGTGTCATTCTCTGCAAGATGATATGGTGTCTTACAGGGTACCTTACACTATACTTTTACAGAAGAGATTTGCAACCAGCCACAGTACAAGCCGGGACCTTAGCACACAGTGATTACCACCTCTTCAGCAAGTTAGGAGTCCAGCTGACTATTTAGCAAGTGAAACAGCCAACAAGTATCCTAACAACATCATTCTTGACACAGGCATTGCAAATGCTGGTGCCACATACAACAGGTGCATGAATATGGCTGTCAACTATGTGGAAACGTTATTATGTCAATTTGAATTGTCTCTAATTTGGTCACACAATCCTGGAATATTTCTAAGTAGACAACAAACACAATCTCTCAACAAGCCTGTACCTGCTCACTCAGATGTTTCTGCTTAATGGCTTCCATCTCTTCTTCTTGCCTCTTTCTGATTTCCTTCTCAGCCTCGTCAATCTTTCTAGCCCTGGCCACATGATACTGAGCCTGGCTCAACAAGTCAGAACACTGCCTACACACAAGCAAAACACAAGAGACCGTCAGGGCATGAAACATGGAAACAGCATTATTCCTATATAACGACAAGAAAACAAACAATGCAAACTTTTACTATGTAGTCTCCATACTTGGGAACCATGTTTTTGTAAGCTGAAATTTTTAGCAACAGCAATTTAACCAAAATAAGCAGAAGACAAAATAAGAAGAAGATTTACAATTGGTTTTCTGTTCTCTAAAGATAAATGGCCACAAAATCAACATGCACAGATAAACCAGAGAGTATTGAAAACAGATCAATTAACAAACATTTGAAATAAAAAACGAAAGTGAGAAAAACAAATTAGAAGGCTCTTGAAAAAAAAAAAAAAAAAAGATGAAAGCCATGTTGTGATTTGATAAATTATGCTTAGATTATCCCTATTTTCTGTAGGAGGGAGGGGGGTGCGTGTGTGTGTGCATGTGTGTGTGTGTCTTATAGGGACTGATTTTAATAACTAAACTGACACCTAGCAAACTTGATTGGGGAGGGAAGGGGGGGGGGAATCAGTGAAATGAACATCTGAATGGCTTGTCCATACTCATCATCGGGACAAGAACTGTCTTGATCAGAGACTCTGGTCATTTCACCAGATGTGGACTTTGACCATACAAGTTTATCGACATGGTACATGATGGAATGGTGAACATGAACAGAAAATCTCAATTGTCAACAACTACAAACTAAAATCCCTACTTCCAGAAAACTTCAACTATCTATAAGTGCAAAGAAATACCTACCTCCAGAAAAATAATGATTATCTACAAGTAACCCCAAAAAAATACCTGCCTCAAAAAACCCTAAATTATCTACAAGTACACACAAGAAACCCCCTCCAGAAAAACCTCAATTATCTACAAGTACACACAAGAAACTCCCTCCAGAAAAACCTCAGTTATCTACAAGTACACACAAGAAACTCCCTCCAGAAAAACCTCAATTATCTACAAGTACACACAAGAAACTCCCTCCAGAAAAACCTCAATTATCTACAAGTACACACAAGAAATTCCCTCCAGGAAAACCTCAATTATCTACAAGTACACACAAGAAACTCCCTCCAGAAAAACCTCAGTTATCTACAAGTACACACAAGAAACTCCCTCCAGAAAAACCTCAATTATCTACAAGTACACACAAGAAACTCCCTCCAGAAAAACCTCAGCTATCTACAAGTGTCTACACACTTACCTTCACAAGCCATCTCAAGTGGCTAGCATAAAACAGAAAAACTCAGAACCACTAAAAGTCTGTCAACATAAGCATGTACACTTGTCAATACAGAGTATTTCCTAAAGATAAATCAGTTATTTGTGACAGAGCATGTAAGAAGACATATTCCCAACAGTTGGAAAGGTGGGCACATCATCACACAGTAAAAGAAACTGTCTGTTTGAGGATATGACCATCTGTTTACAATGACTGAGATCATGTTTGTCAGATGACTGATTGACCATACTGAAGATCTTGATCTATTCAAAACCTGAGAAAACTTAAATTCAGGGTCCTGAAAGACCAGGTAAAAATTAACACTCGCAAACAATAAGGACAAATATTAACAACTGTTTAGAACAGTGAAAGAAGTGTTTAAAAAAAATGACAGAAACAAATGATGACTACTTACTGAGCTTCTGCAGCTGCCTGAGCCAAGTCAAACTTCATCCTGTCTCCATGCTGACCCAGGTAAGTGAAATACCTGCGTCGTGAGAAACAAGCATTTACATCCAATGTTAACAGCCAGAACACTGTATTTCACAGAGACAAAAATAATCAAATATGGAGAGGTTCTGGAGTTGTTGTTGTTGTTATCGATCCAGCGGCGCATGAGCTTTCGCCCTTTGGCCCAATGCCATGTAGTGGAATTTGCATGTTTTCACAAGCTGTTCTTTTCCTCCGTACAAGGTGTTCCACTTGTCTGGTCTCGGAGGGAGTAGCGTTCTTCTTGTCTCACTGAGTTTTGGGCACTCAAAGAGATGGTGTTCAACAGTTTCGTAGGGGTAGTTACATAGCTGGCACTCTGGGGAGTGTTGTGGCTGTATTCTGTTTAGGTGTCCATTGAGTGGAGTATGTTGCGTTCTAAGTCTGAAGATGGTGGCCTGGTCCCTTCTTGTTAGATGGTTAATGCTGTCATTAGGATCAGGGCCAGACATATGTCTATAAACCTCTCTTCCAGTGTCTCCCATGGCCCATCTGTTCAACCAAGTCTCTTTGTTTATAGCTCTTATCAGTGTTTTTGCTGTCTGGAGGGTTGTCGCTGTAGGTGGTTGTTCTTGTGTTGCTCCTTTCTTTGCCAATCTGTCAGCTCTGTCATTACCTGGTGTGCCGGAGTGACCTGGAATCCACTGCATCACTATTCTGATGTTGTATGAGGTAATAAGATGATCGGCATCCAGGATTATCTTGGCTATGTCAGTTCTGCAGCGTTCATTGCCCTCCAGAGCTTGAAGGGCAGACATTGAATCTGTGAAGATGACAATATTTTGGACCTTTGAGGGGTAAACATCCATTACAGTCTTTAGGTGGTATACTGCTGTTTCCAGTGCAATTATTTCAGCTTCATAGTTTGAACAGAATTCCCCGCATGCATCAAAAATCTCTTCAACAGATCCATCGGGATAACCTATGTAGATTCCGTAACCTGCTTTAATGGTAGCTTTAAATGCTGATCCATCAGTATAGACATGTATCCATTCTTGGGGGTAAGAATCAACGGTCTTTAGTGATGAGTTCATAAGAGCGATTGGGTCGGACTGTTTGGTTTCCTCGCCTACCAATTTAGTTTGGACTTCTGGAGCTTTAAAGCGAGCATGTGGTGGTAGGTTTTTTGCAACATTCTGAATTCCTTGACGTCTTTCTGGGAGGTGGTATCTGTCCTGAATTTCATTTACACAGTGTAAAACCGATTTGTGCTTTATTCTTTGTTTGGATTCCCAGTTTTCTACAAGATGTCTATTAGGATGGTTACGATTTTTCCTAACGCATCTTTCATAAATTTCTAAAGTGGCTTTTTCTCTCCGCAACCCGAGGGGTTCCACATTTGTATGGATTTCACATGCAGCAGTTGGTGTAGACTGCATAGCTCCGCAGATTAATCGGAGGGCATTATTTTGTACTCTGTCAAGAGTCTCTAGGTTAGTTTTGGAACAAGTTGTAAGCAGTGAGTTGTTGTACTCTATCACAGAGCGAACATATCCTAGGTATAAGCCCCTCAGAGTTTCCTTGTCTGATCCCCATGATGTACCTGCAAGTCTCTTTAATAACTGTAACCGCCTCAATGCCTTATTCCTGATGTTTTCAATATGGTTCTTGAGGCTGAGCTGCGGGTCAAGTGTGACTCCAAGGTATGTGGGATGCTCTTCTTTCATCACTTGGTGTTTGTCTAACCTCAGGTTAATATTCTTCCTTGCTACTTGGTGGCTTTTGGTAAAGATTGTGTAGACCGTCTTTGCACAGTTAATCTTGAGTTTCCATCTTTGGCAGTAATCATGCAGTCTTCTAAGGTCTCCATTCAGTCTTTGGGCTCCACTTTCCACATTTTCATGACTCTGCCATATTGCTAGGTCATCAGCGTACAAGGCTTTTTCGGCCTTGATTTGTTCTGGCAGGTCATTGATAAAGATTAGGAATAGTGTACAGCTCAATGATGAGCCTTGTGGCAAGCCCTCCTCCAAGACTTCTTTAGAAGAGATTGCGTTGTGCATCTTAGTCTGGATTGTTCTATCTATCAGGAAGTATTTCACCCAGTTATACAATCTGCCATGTATTCCTATGCTCATCATCTTCATCAGGAGACCTTTTCTCCATACTCTGTCATAGGCCTGCTGGAGGTCGACAAAGACTGCCACTGTGTGTTTCTTATTCTGGAAGCCATCATGTATTCTTTGTGTCAGTCTGAACAGCTGGTCTTCTGTGCAGCTGTTGGTTCTGAAGCCTGCCTGTTCATGGCATAGAACACCAGAACTCTCAAGGAACCAATATAAGCGCCTGTTTATCATTCTTTCTGCAACTTTGCCCAAGCATGATGTTAAGGATATCGGGCGGTAGCTTTTGGGGTCATCTGGAGGCTTTTTGGTTTTAAGGATGGGGACGATATATGCATTCCTCCATGCCCTTGGAAGTTTGCTTGACCTCCAAGTTTTATTAATAAGCCTGAGAACTACTTCTCTCCCAGACCGGCCAAGATGTAGCAGCATTTCGTTGTGGATCTTATCTGGGCCTGGAGATTTTCTAGGTTTTAATTTCTTCAGGGCTTGCTCTAATTCATCCATGCTAAATTCATTTTCAAAAAGGGAGTCGCTGGCTGTTGGAGCTCTCTCTTGTTTCTTCAACTGAGAGAGCTGTGTTCTATCGAGTTCTGACAGCTTACCTGCTCTGTTAACCGAGGCAAAATAATGATTGAAATGTTCTGCTTTCTTCTTGTCTTCAGTGATTGTCTTACTCCCATCTGTCACTGGTTTTGGGTTCACCCTTCTACTTTCTCCGGAGAGGTTTTTAACTAAAGTCCATGCTTTATTTCCATTCTGTCTAAGGTCTAAGTTGGAGCAAGTTTCTGTCCATTTATCTCTTTTAGCCTTATTAACTACAAGCTTTACTCTGGCACATGCTTTATTGTATTGGATCTTTGCTTCTGTTGAACGTGCAGTTTCGAGAAATATTCTTGCTTTATTCCTTTCAGATATAGTATTTTGAATTTCTTGATTCCAAAAAGGTTTATATGCCTTCCGGCTGCCCCTTGGGATGGCTTTCGACGCTGCATTCAGGATTGCTTGTGTTATGTCTTCACAAAAAGTTTCCACACAGCTGTTGTCAATTCTTCCCAGGAGGCAGTCAGATGTTTCCTGAAATAGTTTCCAGTTTGCTTTTCGGAAATTCCAACGGGTTCTCTGCTTGAAGCGTAATTTAGGGGTGGTGCTTACAGTTGTGAGTATAGGTTTGTGGTCACTTCCTATGTCGTCCAGGACTTGGGGATAGCTTGCGTCTGCTAAGTCGGATGAGCAGATGGTCAGGTCTGGTCTGCTGAGAGATAGGTGGGCCCTGTGTAACAGTGTAGGTGTAGACTCTGTGTCCTGCAGCACTAATAGGTTAGTTGTTTCACAAGTATCTTCGATGTACTTCCCTGTGCTATTGTAGTCAGGGTAACCCCAACGTGGCGAGTGTCCGTTGAAGTCACCAACAAGAAGGGTTTTATGGTACTGTGTCTTGTATAGTTCTGGTATGTTGCATGTTGTCTGAGGTGGGCTGTACACGTTGTATATCGTGTATTTGCTTCCATTGTGCCAGATAGTTATTTTTTGCACATCTGTAGGGTGAGATGTCGACAGCATTGTTACATCTCCTTGTATGTCATTTCTGATATAGGTCACTATGCCCCGGCAGTCATTGCACTTACAGGCATAACTAGTATATCCAGTGAGATGCAGATCAGAGTCTTTATGCAGGGTTTCTTGTAGGGCAGCCACGTGTACCCTGTGGTTGTTTAGCAGTTTGGCAAGTTCAAGTTTCTTATTTCTTATTCCACAGATGTTCAGCTGCAGAATATTGAGCATCTGTGTATTTTTTGCTGTGCTGTCTGAGTTCTTTTTGCTCTCCCTCCCACTCTTCCTCCTCCTGGGGTGTCTGTTTTCCCTATTTATTTCAAATTTTCCAGTAGCCAATTTTTCGCACATGACAGCCTGGTTTCCCACTGTCTGGCGCGGGCCTTGATAGACGAGGCGACGACCGATCTCGTATGTATTCTTAAATTTTGACTTATTCATGGCATTGTGGTGCTGGGGTGTCTGTGGATTACCTACCTCCCCGGGCAGCAGCTAGAAATGCCCTGTACCAGTTCTAAAGGAAATATGGGTTGTGTTTCTGCCTTTCCCTTTAACACGTAGCTAAGGTGGGGCTCACAGTGTGCTCATTCCCCGCCACCAGATTGCCTGCAGGTTTCGCTGAGCTCTTCATGTCTCTAAGCATGGCCTAAGCATGAGTAGTTGGGGCAACTGGATCGTCACGTCCTGAGTCCCTGTGCCTTCACGATAGTTTCCGGTATTCAGAGGGGTTAGCATACTTGTTTCCATTCCTAAGACTGTTCAGCACACCTCTGGCTCCTTCCCTCCCACAGGGGGCAGTACGGTGTGGTGCACCGGGTTTATTATCGAGGTTTGCTCCTCTAGATCCATTGTGTTTTGCCTGGGGATTCGCACCCCCAGTTACCGGGACTACCTCGGGGAGGCTGTGACTCTTCGCCACGCACAATGGTCTTGAGGTAAGAGAGGTTTTGCTAGGTCAAGAGGCTGACACCACAATGGACGCTCCTTTCGTGAACAGATATTCACTAGACCTAGGGTGAAGTAAGGGGGGGAACCCACTACCCACAACACCAACACTTCTTACCCCCTGCCTCTCGAGGCTCAGTCCCGAGAGGTTCTGGAGAGATGGCAGGGAAAGTGAATTGTTGAAAGAGAGAAGAAACAAACCAACAAAAAAACAAAATAATTTGAACACAATAAAAGAACACAGTTAACTGCATATCCTCTACAGGACACAAATTTAAAAAATCCACCTTTTATTGTTTATGGGGAGTCACAGTGGCTAGATGCTTGTCTGCTTGCTTAGGGGACTTGGGTTCAAATCTGCACTAGGTAAAAAAAAATTGTAAACTGACTCTGGCTCTCAAGTCATCCCAGCCCAAAACAGGTACCAGGATATGTCCACCCCTGGCCGAGTTCTACCCTTGGCCGAGGTCCACCCCTGGCCGAGGTCCACTCCTGACTGAGGTGCACCCCTGACTGAGGTGCACCCCTAACTGAGGTCCAACCCTGACCGAGGTCCACCCCTGAGTGAGATCAACTTCTGACTGAGGTCAACCCCTGACCGAGGTACACCCCTGACCGAGGTGCAACCCTGACTGAGGTCCACCCCGACCGAGGTCCTCCCCTGACCGACAGCTGACAGGTCTTTAAAAGATATGTCAAGCCTCGACTGTTGGAGGCAGAGAGATTTCCTCGACTTATTACCTCTTTAAACAGGAATTACAGTGAGGAGCTATGCCTATGATAATTATCAATGTTGTCAACTTTTTACACGAATGATTAATTCAGTGTCACGATTTTAGCACCGACGTTTCAGCATGCTACTATGTGGAACCATGCTACTATGTGGAACCATGCTACCATATGGAACCATTGTACCATATGGAGCCATGCTACCATGTATGGAACATATTATTGGATCTCAGTAATGTAGTATCAGAATATCACAATTGATGGTGGATTAGTATATTATCACATCCACCATATTCTGTGTAACCATCAGCAATCCCTGCACCCATCTGTTACACAGACATCATTGGCTGGTTACTTCCACCTGTCTTATCTTCTTTTTTTTTCTGCCATCGCCTTGATGTGTGTAAAAAAAGAGTCCTTGACCTTTTTTCATTGGCCAATGACTTCCTAAGGGTGTTTTGCCCATATGCTGCTTGCTCAAAGAATAGTTCACATTGTAGTAAACAGTTGCACAGCAAGGTTTAGTGTAGAATGTTATGACAGTCAAATGTTTGCTAAATGCAACACACTGTTGAAGAAAGTTTATGTATGTGACGGCCATCTACTTGTCATATGCACAAATAAGCATGTAGTTAATAACTTTATTGCAGAAAATTATCAAGAAAACAATTGGATGAATTTAAGAAATAAGAGAAATGTCTGGATCAACAGATATAAGATACAGAAGATGGTGCTATACTGGACCTGTTTACCAAACAAGCATTGAAATGGGAAACTGAGGTACGGAAATGAGGGCCTCCGAGAAAAATCCTAAAGGCAATGCAGATGAGAGAAACCATAAGATGATGGATTTCTTAAACTCTAGCGGAAAGTTCTGGTTGTTCATCCACCTCTGGACTTTAGACTTGTTCCAGAACCTGAGTGTTGCATGCACACTTGTTTTACGGATCTGATTTTGTATGCAGAATGTTGGCTCCTTGCCTTTTCGGCAGATGCACTCCCACTTCATAGGAAACCCCCAATAGGTCAACTCTTACAACATGCTTGTTGGGGAGGCAGTGGGGTCAATTCTTGTTTGCCCCACAATGGGGCCCCAGAACCCACACTGGGAAGAAGCTAAACTGAATTCCATCCATGATATCAAAGTCCATGCACAGAACAGAATGAGATGGAGACACAGACTGCAAGCCCTGTGTGACATTTAATGGAACAATAGGACAATGAATTAATGAATTATAACTTGATCTGTTTGTTGAATACAAACATTAGTTGACAATTAAATGTAGTTGACCACTTCATCTGTTTGTTAGGTGCACACATCAGCTGGGATGTACATGCCACAGACACATCTTGTTAGGTGCACACATCAGCTGGGATGTACATGCCACAGACACATCTTGTTAGGTGCACACATCAGCTGGGATGTACATGCCACAGACTCATCTTTTCATTATTGTATACAAAAAATTTGGCGCCCGTGGCTAAGGCGCTGCAAGTCTGACTCGTAAACCAGCATACCGCGATCGAAACCCACTGCGTGGAGTTTTGTCGTGGTATGGGACGTCGCAGGTCGACCCAGTCTAGAATGGGTACCAGGATGGGCTGTCCTGGGAAAGTAAAAGACAGCCAGCGTAATGCTGACCACATTACCCACAAGTGCTGATGGTCTGTAAAAATATGGGACGCTCTGCCCATATGCCCGATGCGCCGAAAGGCGTGAAAAGGTATCCTTACTTTACTTATACAAACATTAGCTGACCGCTGGCTGTGGACCAGGACTTGACTCAAATCAAATATGTTCCACCCACCTGTGAGCCAACTCTAAATCTCTGACAGCAATCAACACCTTCTTCAGGTTGCTCTTTTCATCTTTCAGGATCATGGTGGCCAGTTTTTGCTGCACCAGCGCAATGTTGTACAACAGGACGGTATCATTGGGAGCTACGTGGCGAGCCTGAAAATGTAACAATGACAACACTGAGAGGTCAGATTTCTTTTATGAACTCAATCACAACAGGAGAGGGGGCGACAGGCGGCAGCGTAGTGGCAAGATGTTCACCTGTTGGCCTGAAATTCTTAGGTTTAAATCCACATGCAGGCGGAATGTTTGGGGTAGAAATTAACCTTCGGTCCTAAGTGGACCCAGCCAGAAATGGGTATCAGGTAATGTCCTGGGAAGTAAAGGTGGCCAGTGTGCTGTTGACTTCCCTCACCAAGTGCAGCTCGGTCTACAATACATGAGACCAGCATCAAATGCCTGATGCGCCATTTGGGTGAAAAGGGTCCTTCACTGGTTTTTAGCTCAACAAATGGGCATGGGTGTGTATGTGTGCATCCCAGTGCCCTCAACAAATGGGCATGGGTGTCTATGTGTGCATCTCAGTGCCCTCAACAAATGGGCATGGGTGTGTATGAGTGCATCCCAGTGCCCTCAAGAAGTGGGTGTGTGTGTGTGCATCCCAGTGCCCTCAACAAATGGGCGTGGGTGTGTATGTGTGCATCCCAGTGCCCTCAAGAAATGGGCATGGGTGTGTATGTGTGCATCCCAGTGCCCTCAACAAATGGGCATGGGTGTGTATGTGTGCATCCCAGTGCTCTCAACAAATGGGCATGGGTGTTTATGAGTGCATCTCAGTGCCCTCAACAAGCATGTAATGAAATGCAGTTAATTAAGGATTTGCTTACATTACAAGTTTTGTGCCAAAAAGTGCAGACATCACAGCATAGTCGTAAACCACAATATAATATTGCCAATAGCCCTACTAATGGTAAATACATAAGAGGAAGAAGAATAAACACAGAAGTTCTCACTTTGTGGAGGAACAACAAATTTAACTCATATTTTATGATTACAATTTGTGTAGTTTTAACAAACCTTGAGCAAAGTCTGTTTACATTCGGCCAACTTGCCACACTTGAAGTAGGCTCTGGCCAGGTACACCATCACCTCCATATTATGATTTTTGAAGAATTTCTTTAAGCAGTTTTCATACTGTAGACAAATATTAGAATAGTTAACACAAAAGAGCTACCAAAGAACTTATCTGGCAATTTATTTATGTTTACTCTGATATCCACTGCATAATGTAAAGTGTCAATGAATTTACTGCAAAATCTGAAAGTGGTAATAAATTTCAGATAATCTTTCAAATACTTAAGGAGGTACAAAAAACACAGACTGTTTTCTTAACACCTACTGCCATATCTAACTCTCAGTTGGCATGCTTTATAATCAGGAAGACTTTCCAGGGTACGGTATTCCTTCAGTGAGTATTTCTCATCTCTGCTTGTTGAAGCATTTTTTTTTATCTCTGCTTGTTGAAGCATTTTTCATCTCTGCTTGTTGAAGCATTTTTCATCTCTGTTTGTTGATAGTTTTCATCTCTGCTTGTTGATAGTTTTCATCTCTGCTTGTTGATAGTTTTCATCTCTGCTTGTTGGTAAAGTTTTCATCTCTGCTTGTTGATAGTTTTCATCTCTGCTTGTTGTTAGTTTTCATCTCTGCTTGTTGTTAGTTTTCATCTCTGCTTGTTGTTAGTTTTCACCTCTGCTTGTTGAAGCATTTTTCATCTCTGCTTGTTGATAGTTTTCATCTCTGCTTGTTGATAGTTTTCATCTCTGCTTGTTGATAGTTTTTATCTCTGCTTGTTGATAGTTTTCATCTCTGCTTGTTGTTAGTTTTCATCTCTGCTTGTTGGTATAGTTTTCATCTCTGCTTGTTGTTAGTTTTCATCTCTGCTTGTTGATAGTTTTCATCTCTGCTTGTTGTTAGTTTTCATCTCTGCTTGTTAGTTTTTACCTCTGCTTGTTGAAGCATTTTTCATCTCTGCTTGTTGATAGTTTTTATCTCTGCTTGTTGATACAGTTTTCACCTCTGCTTGTTGAAGCATTTTTTATCTCTGCTTGTTACAGCAGTTTTCATCTCTGCTTCTTGACGCAGTTTTCATCTCTGCTTGTTGATCCATAGCCAAACTAGCCTAGTTAGAATTAATCAGCATGTAACTTCAATATCCAACCACTAGTCTGGGATGGAGGGGGGGGGGGGGGGGGGGGGGGGGGGGGGTTTGCGCTTTCGGGCTCAAATTAATTAACAAAATAAGGTAAAGTTGTACATGTGCCATGCTTGACAGCAAGTATAACTCTCTAAAAGGCTGACTGTCTGATGACCGACTGCGATATTCTGTCATTGACCCAAAATAAAGTCAACAATGCCTCATAACAATTAATGAAACAAACCTTCTTCCATCAGTCCAAGTTTTATGTTTCCAATGTCTACCTAATTTGTCAGACTATATCATATACCAATACAAGATATTCACCTGCATATTGCAGTTACCTTTAATAAATGTCTGATTTGACACTGAATAAAACTTTCAGAAAACAAGTGGAAATTATGAAAACCTAGACGGAACAAACTAGAGGAGTTGAAGAAATCATACCCTGGCAAAGTAAGACTATATACATTTGTAATGGGGTTGGCTAAATTGTGCACTTAGCACTGCAGTATGGAGAGTCATGTATCAGGCATGGCTTCAGCTGTTTCATCCCAACACTCGGGCAAGTGGGCCAATGGATATGGGTACTTAAACCTTTCTGCCAATCAGTAGAATTTATGACGATCGGACATTCAGAGTTTGCTGGTGTGTCATAGGATGTACCTTTGTAGGACATTTGAGCCTACCTAGCAGGCTGATAGTGGCTGTCGTCGTGTACCTCAATGTGGTGACAAGGCTGAGAACTGACAGGATGTACGTAGACAGGATTTTACCACGAGAAACCGCCCACAAGAGATGTTACTCGTCTAAGCTGCAGGCAAATCTCTTGGTCAAGGGCTGAGTCTCAGCAGTTCAGTTTTCTTTTATTCGACTTTTACCCGCACGTTTTCATTTCATGGTACATTCAGCAAGCAAACTTCACTCATATTCCAAATGAGCTCTGATAGACATTTTCATCCATGCTTTTGGAGTGGGTTGATGAGAGCCTGACTGGACACTACAACTCTAGGGGCCACCAGCTCCAAGATCCCCTGCCAGGTATGTTAATGCTCATTTTAGACATTATCCGTGGCATACGACGGGGACATGCAGCAAGAGTATTGCATGAGATTCTGTAAAACCAGCACAAAGGTTGGCACCCAGGGTGAGGTACAGTGTAACTCCTTATACACATCACATCGGACTTTACTTTTCCTCACGCCTGTGTCCAAAATTACCAGGCCACAGCTGATATATCGGGAAAAATCAATAATAAAGTCAACATTGCAGATAAAGATAATCTACTTCAAGCAAATGAAAGAAGAAGTAGTCCTCAAATATTTAATGATAAAACGAGTGACTGAACTGGACATAATTACCATCTGAACAGCTGCAACATACTGTCTCTGCTCCACATATATGTGGGCAATGTTCAGCCAGACATCACAAAAGTCAGCAGTGGCCTCACGTACTTGGGCAAACACATCTCGGGCTTCATTGATGCAGCCTTTATGTGCTAGAACACACCCTGATGATGACAGAGGAGATGAGTGTGATATGAAATGTTCATGTTTACTTCAAAGTTTCATTATGCAGTAAGGTAAACACAGTCAGTCTCATAACAGAGACTTACAGTTATGTATTATTGACAGTAGGCCTTCACATTGTCTAGGACAAAGTCTCATGGGCTGAGTGGCCAGTTTCCTTCCTCATCACCTCCCCTTCCCACACAAAACTGTAAACATTATCTGGGGCCTCTAGTATATAAGAGGGCTATGCAGTACACAAAACTGTAAAGCAAGTGTACTAAATTCTGCAGTTGCTTCTCTGTGTAAATGAAGAGAGTTATTCAGTTAAACCTGAGGTCACAGTGTGGATACAAGCACAAACAATTTATTAAATGATCGATACAAATATTCTACTCAGGCAGTCCACACAAAACATGAAGTATGTAGACATGGGAGCCCAGTGGCTAGAGGCTTGACTACCAGCCCAAAGCTCCAAGCTTTAAATTCACAAGGAGGCAGATTTTTATACTTGGCCTAGGGCTCCCAGGTTAACCTAGCCCAAAGTAGGTACCACAAAATATTCAGGAAAACAAAGGCAGCCAGGCTGGTACTCACCATATCATTCACTGAGTATTGATTAATCGGTTTTATTTAAAAAAAATATTATAATAATCAACCATAAAATGCCTTTAGTGTCTTTACAAAAACATAAGACATGAGGCCAAAATCAGTTGCAGACAGACACTTCTCATTACCTATTCCATTTGCAGCCCAAATGTTTCTTGGGTCATTTCTCAGCACTTGCTTGTACATGGCTAAGGCTCTATCTTGGTGACGCTTTTCCTAGAAGGAAAGAACAATAAAAATCAGCTAACAGACCACAGCACAGCAGCAGAGAGATTTCCACAATGAAAACCTAAAATACATGGAGGTGTAAACTGCCCAGACAATAGGTGATGATAATGTTCATGGAGACAATCAGTAGTGAAATGGTGACAATCTACAGGTAATGGAGGTTTTTGGACAAATAAAGCTTGAGAGCATTATGGACAGAGACATATACAATCACAGATCTTTGACACCTGCATCAATACAATCAGAAAAGGGCAAATTTAATGTACTGGCATATGAGTATAAGAGTTGGAATAGACACACTGGCAATGTGTAGGGGAAAAAAGCAGGGCAGGAAAATGACACGAGCCCAAGTTCTTTAAACTGTGGTCTGCAGACCAGGAGATTTATGACATCTTTAAACAGCTGGGTAATAACACAAGCCAAGTTCTTCAAACTGTGGTCAGCAGACCAGGAGATTTATGTCATCTTTAAACAGCTGGGTAATAACACAAGCCCAAGTTCTTCAAACTGTGGTCTGCAGACCAGGAGATTTATGTCATCTTTAAACAGCTGGGTAATAACACAAGCCCAAGTTCTTCAAACTGTGGTCTGCGGACCAGAAGATTTATGTCATCTTTAAACAGCTGGGTAATAACACAAGCCCAAGTTCTTCAAACTGTGGTCTGCAGACCAGGAGATTTATGTCATCTTTAAACAAAGGGGTAATAACACAAGCCCAAGTTCTTCAAACTGTGGTCTGCAGACCAGGAGATTTATGTCATCTTTAAACAGCTGGGTAATAACACAAGCCCAAGTTCTTCAAACTGTGGTCTGCAGACCAGGAGATTTATGTCATCTCAAAACAGCTGAGTAATAACACAAGCTCAAGTTCTTCAAAATGTGGTCAGCAGACGAGAAGATTTGTGTCATCTTTAAACAGCTGGGTAATGACACAAGCCGAGTTCTTCAAACTGTGGTCTGCAGACGAGGAGATCTATGTCATCTTTAAACAGCTGGGTAATGACACAAACCAAGTTCTTCAAAATGTGGTCAGCAGACCATGAGATTTATGTCATCTTTAAACTGTTGGGTAATGACACAAGCCCAAGTTCTTCAAACTGTGGTCTGAAGACAGGCACTGATCTTTATAAATTTCCTGGCAGTCTGTCAAAATTATTATTCAATTTTGTAGCAGCTACAAGATTCAGGCACGATACTGCTTTTGAGTGAATGAAGTCTGCACTCGATAATGCTCTGTCTTATGTAAAGACAATGTCAGTAACACAAAACAGAGAGATGGTATGACGTTATTGCAACACTTTGTCTCTCAGAATATCTCAAATGTTGTCTCCATTTAGTGCAGCTGGGTGGCTTACAGATTAGTGAAACTGTTTCACAATCCAATCAGGTTTCTACCTTCCCAGCCAATTATTTAGCAAAACCTATTCTTGTGGCTTTCAGACAGCGGTGCAAGAGTTGTACCGTAAAACACTGCAGATAACCTTCACTGGGGAGAAGGCACCTATTTTATTTTTTAATAGAACACTGTTATAAGCAGCATCCAATTTTATTATAATATCAGATGACAGCAGACTTGATGGCCAAATGTCTGTTCCAGACCAGGCATATGAACAAGATAGCATTCACAGTTACACGTATTTCACAGCAAGATTTCCACAAACAAACAACACAGACCTTTTCTCTGTCTCTCATTGGCTGGTGAAGAGTTTGCAGCCAAACATTTCCCAAAGCAATCAGAGAGTAGGCATCGTCCTTGGTGGCCTGCCTCTGTAGGATCCTCTCAAACTTCTTCTGACCGGGGCCCCACTCCTGTTTTGCTAAATGGAGATTTCCTATGAGGGACCAAGCATCCGGATGATCCTGAAATATAAAACACCAAATAAATAAACTCTGCAAAGATACATCTCTCTCTCTCTCTTTCTAACAAAGGGCACTTTTTTCCAGCCACTGGCACATCAGACAAAGAGTGCCTTAACTATACTGTTTATAAAACTGTGACGAAACAGGCGAAAGCCATTGGCTCCCCTTCATAAAGACTAAAATAAATTGAAATAAGTTCTGTCATTCAATAGAAATCAGAGGTCTAGATGTTTCAGCACCCTGGACTATGGCCTAGCTTCTAGTACCAATAAGGGTGGACTTGTTCCTGTTTCTTAGTAACCCAGAGAATGGGAGTTACTTTCCTGTTTTTGTCCTGTCTCCAGACCACCTTCTGCAGGATCAGGATAACTGTCTTGTCCTGTCTCCAGACCACCTTCTGCAGGATCAGGCTAAATGTCTCGTCCTGTCTCCAGACCACTTTCTGCAAGATCAGGCTAACTGTCTTGTCCTGTCTTCACACCACCTTCTGCAGGATCAGGCTAACTTTCTTGTCCTGTCACCACACCACCTTCTGCAGGATCAGGCTAACTGTTTTGTCCTGTCTCCACACCACCTTCTGCAGGATCAGGCTAACTTTCTTGTCCTGCCCCAGGAGAGAGATCTCAGTCCTTATTGCCAATTGAGACCACCAGTTTAGTTACATCTCATGCACAGGATTTCTACTTCACAGTGAGCTTTCTTGTATTTGTGATACAAACTGATATTTGATGGAAGAAGGGAACATATTACTGAAAGTCTTCACTTCCCATGACATTTCCCGGCACCCAAGTTACGTGAGGCTGACCTGAAAGCCATAGGTCAATTATAGCACCTTGATGTGGATTCTAACAAAGAATCAGTAGGTAAGTATCTAACCTCTGCGCTACAGCTGCCTCTTAAATTTATATGTAGAGAACAAGTTATCATCAGTCACATAATTTGTGCTCACAGATGTATTTCCTATTGCCAATAATTTCACAAACATGTTTCAACAGTGTTTGCTGAATAAAAAGGTAAAAAGTCAGGAGATGTGAACCAGCGTCATTGCACACGGTTATAAACCATAAGTGCTCTGCCACTAGTACGGACAGCTGATAAGAAACTGTCCGCCCGTGTTGCCGTCCTTAGTAAAACCGTAGCTACAGTGACGTTCCTCCATTCACCCCAGAGTGTGAACTCTGGTACACATTACCTAGAGGCTAGGTGAAGCCCGGAAACCGCCCAGTTTCAAACACCGACCGTGGCTGCAGCGAGTCGCAGCTGGATTTGAAAGCGAGCCTCCTATCGACTGTGCTAACGCGGCTCCCTTGGACTTGGCTGAATAAAACAGTGCATTAATTTTACAATTAAGAAATGATTCCTACTTGATTAATTTGAAGAGCTTCCTTAAACCAATCAGAGGCTTCATAAATCTGACCCCGATCTCTGGCCATGCATCCCAGACGAAGGTAACCTGTGTAGAAAACATAAACATAGTTCAGAAGGAGTTTTACAATGAAACTGTTTCTCAACAAACAAACAAATTATTTGTTGCCACTATTCACCATTGTCCAGGAGCAAACTCTGAACTAGGAAAGACGTTTTCAGGCTTAAAGGGGTGAAAGTGCTTAAGCTTTAATCCACAATGACAACATACAGAACACCAACTAGAAAATCCAAGTGGAAAACAATTTCAAGACTGTTATCCAATACTGTGAAAGGACATTAAAATGGCTGTAGTCATCAAACCAAACACTCAGCCAGACTACCAGGACTTAGACAAGTCATAACTGCTACATGTACCCGCCATGGTCAAGAATCTTCTTAAACAATTTTAAACAACAATAAACAGTCAAGGTCAATTTTCTATCACTTGAAATATATTGTTATATTTCTTAACCTCATATATTTATGACCAATCAGCACTTGATAGTGAGGCAAGGAAGTCTAAGAGAAATCATGTGATGAATGCTGATGAAAGAGGATAGAAGTGCTAGACCAGATTCCACACAGAAATATGAAAAGATTGCAAAGGACATAACAGAATGGAGGATCAAAAGACAGCTGAATGTGGTGTATAAATGGCATAAACAGAATGATGATGATATTTATTGTCGGGAAGGATTCTTTCAGGATGAGGAAAGCTCTTGAAAAGTTCCTATAGCTGAACTATTCATACTAACAATATAGTTTTTATGTGATGCCTAACTGCTCGAACAATGTTACCGTAGAAGCTTGAACCGGTACCAAGGCTACTTACAGTCCACATAATTGGGGTGATCTCTGAGAATGTTTCTGTAGAATTTATCAGCCTTGTCATACTCATGCAGAGCTTCATACAAGCGCGCCAGGTTGTACGTTGTTGTCACTGAGATGGCGCTGTAGTAAGTCTCATCATGCTGGGCATCGGACTTGGAACGTTCCAGGGAAGCTTCATAGTATTTCTGTCAGAACAGTCATGACTAATGAGACATGATAGTCGTGTTGTTTAATAAAGTTTGTGTGGGGCAGAGACAGAGGGTGTGAGAAAGACACACAAAAGAGCTCCAAGGAGGCTTCACTATATTTTTACAGAACAGCGAAGACTGTCACTTTGTTTCATATACAATTCGGATAGTGTGTCTCAGACACACAGAAGAGTCGGTAGTTGAGGTAGAAAAAAAAAACACTAATGACAAGCTAAGGTTGCAACCAGACAGCCATTATCAGCACATTCATAAATCTTCAATACCACAAGTACGACCAAGAATATACTAAATCACTTAACTTATGTATCTCCGATAGAAATCATATTGCTGTCAGGTCAGCAGAACACCTGGCACTGTGCTGACTAAAAATAAATACTGACCAGAAAAAAGCTGTGATCAACAAGGGTTGTATATTAAAGATATTAGATACAAATGTGTTCAATGTTAAGTCCCTTAGGTAAATTAGCATCCATTAGATGAATAAGGTGATTTTTGAGAGACTTGAGCATTCCTGTCACTGGAGTGGCTAGACTAGATGGTCATAGCCTCCTTGTCAAGGACACCTTGGTGATTCTGAGAACTGAAGTGTAATGGCACTGGTCTGAGGGCACAGTTTTGCACATCAGAAAGATGCCACCTGAACATGTCAGCCAGTCATAGCCCAGTTTCACTTATGTATTTCATACAGCTTCTGCAGACAATAGCATAAAAACAGTGTTTCTCTCAGAGTCTCAAGAACTACAGACAATAAAATCAAACATTTCTGTAAGTGATATTATGATACACAGTGACTTTCTCATCTTTAACATAGTCTTAAACAAGCTAAACATATGTTGGCCACATCTTCACACAATCACAAAAGATGTAGGCCCGTGCACAAACATCCAGGTATCACAGACCCTGACACAGCCAGCTTACTCTAGCATCTGTATAATTTCCAAGTCTAAAATGTAAAGCTGCCACATTGTTGAGAATTTCCGGAGGGATGTCTGCTTCCACTTTCTCCTTGAGTATACGTGTTGCTGTTCCATAGGCTGACAAGGCACCCTGCAGACAACATACATACTGTTAACATACCGCACCAAACTCACAAACGGGGCAGAGTGACTTAGATGTTTCAATATCTCCACCTCTGAAATGTACAGATTTGGAACTGTTTGTATTTTTATTTTTGAATTGAATATGTTACATCCCTTCTTCTTCATCACACACCCTAGGACTGTGAATCAGACATCTAGCCCTCTTGCACAGGTATTAAGTGCAAGGAACTTGTGAGTATCCATGTGCTACACACATTGTGCAAGTTCAAAAATTCCTCAGCAGATGACAACTGAAAAGATCAGAATGAATACACAAGGAAAATTTTTTTTTTATTTTTTTAAATCTATATTAAAACAATATTATACACCTGCTAAAAAATGTTTATAATTACTGCTCAAAGCAGTTTAAAATACTAAGTTTACAATACATACACAGCAGTTTTCCTTCACATAACCTGAATTTAAACTGAAAGAAACAATGTACCACTGTGTTGTCAGAAGAATCATTACTGGAATTTAAGTAAGCAAAGGTGCCATGAGATATATTAAACTGTAATAAATGAAATGAAGAACAAAAGTCTGGACCAATAAAATAATATACAATGATCCCACTAATGTAAAGAAGACAAAAGGAATGCAGTTGACAAGATATTTATTTCCCTGCTGCGCTCACTGGGGTTCTGAAACCATACTATTCATTCTTTATCCTTATCACCCTCTCTGAGGAGTTTGATCACATCTTACTACAGAGCTTAAAGATCAGATTGTCTGGCATGTGGTAAAGTTTACTTCCTCTAGATATCCAAGGTAATGTTGTAGCTAAACATGTCCAGGGATTTCCCCTCAACACTTCTCCCAAATAATCTATCAAGATTGTAAAAAAAAAAAAAAAAACAGCATGGCTAAATGAGGAAACACGATACAAGGTGTCCTGACCTGCACATCTGTTTGCTCCATGATCTGTGCCAGTTCTATCCATGCTTCCACATCATCAGGAAATTGCTCTGTCACTTTCTTCATATGTGACTGTAAAAGATTTAACATTTCTGAACATCAGGAATTTATTTCATAAAGGTGAATAATCTTAATTTTACAGTCAATTACAATTGTGTTTTTTTAATCCCAGTGTGGGGTCCGGAGCCCTGTTGTAGGGAAAACAAGAATAGATCTACTGCCTACCCAAAAGCATCTCTCGTAAGAGTCGACTAATTGAGAGCTTCCTTAGAAGTCCTGAGACACAAGGAACCACAGCTGCATGCAAATGAATCATATCTGTAAAACGGATGCACATGCAACACTCAGGTTCTGGAAAAAGACTAAAAGCACAGAAGTGAACGAACAAACAGAACTTACCTCTGGGGTTTAGAGCCGATGAACCCGAAAAAGAAGAATTGTTTTTTTTTTTTCAGGAATCTTAACAAACATACAATGTTCTTCTTCTGCCTTTCTATCCCCCAATGGAGCATAGGCCCTGAACCAACTCAAGCCAAGTCGTTCTATCCTTCGCCATTATATGGAGCTTTCCCCATGTCCTCCCTATCTTTCTAACTTTATTCTCCAGCTCTCTTCTCCATGTGTTTTTTGACCTGCTTTACTCCTAATCTCCTGTGGGTTCCAATGCAAAGACATTCTAGTTATGCTGTTCTCCTGTTTTCTCAGTGTGTGTCCTATCCAACGCCAGTGTCTTTTCCCCACCTCTTGGTCCACTGGAGGCTATCTACATTGGCCTGGACCAAGGTTGGGAAGCTGTTTCTATAACCTCGGAGAAAAGTGGGCAGGTGCTAACTACAATGAGCCCTGATCCTGGTGGTCCACCATGTGTGTGGTTCAGCACCTAGCAATAAACAATCTTCAAGCAAGTTCCAACATTAAAATAAAACTATGAATTCATGACAATACATATTTTTCACATCTCATCTTTAGGATATCTTTACTATTATGTTACTGCCACATGCACACTAGACAGAATCCTCTTCCTCTTTGTGTTCACCAGCTCTGAACTCCGGTGGAAAGTTCTTGTTGTTTGTCCACTTCTAGACTTTAGTCTTGTTCCAGACCCTGAGTGCTGTATGCACATTTGTTTTACAGATCTGACTTATCTGTATGCAAATTAATGGTTGCTTGTGACTCAGGCAAATGCACTTAAACTAGGAAGGAAGCTCCCCAGTTAGTAAACTCTTATGACATGCGTATTGGAGAGGTAGTGGGTCTATTCTTATCTTTCCCCACAAAGAGGCCCCAGAATCTACATGGGAACTAAATGAAAAAAATGAAACCTCAAGGAAACTGTAAATCAAAAAAAAAAGTAACAAAACTGATAAATGTGACATTACCCTGGCGATCTCCCGTTTTTCTTGATCAGGATGATTTGCATAAAGAGAACCCAAGATTTTCATTGTCTCATAGTTGCCTGGTTGTGCTTTCAGAACTTTCTCAAAACACTGGGCAGCCTAGATTGGGTGAAGAGAATCAAAAGCAAAGATCAACTTTAGTGAAGATGTTTTTTTTTTAAAATCCAACAAGAAAAATAATGTAACATCCAAGTAAAAACAAAGAAACATCCAAGTAAAAACTAAGCCATTCAAGTTGTTTAAACATATAACGCCAACTTCACATCAAACGTTGTCACTCTACACATATATTCTTGAAAAAAAAAACTGTGATTTTCTTTACCTTCTACATTAGTATCCACAGTGCATAATCTTTCAAAGGTTATACCCTGCTGGTTCCCCCTGTCGGTTCTGGACCTCATTGTGTGTGTGTGTGTGTGGGGGGGGGGGAGGGGGGGGATAGACCCACTGCCTCTAACAAGCATTTCGTAAGAGTTGACTAATTAGGGATGTTTCCTGTGAAGTTGGAGTACATCTGCATGAGATATCAGAAAACCAACAGTCTGCACACAAGCAAGCCAGATCTGTGAAAGGGAACTTTTTGCCGGAGTTTACAGCCGGTGAACACGAACAAGAAGAAAAAGATACCCTGCTGACAGCAATACAAGTAGGTGAAATAAGTGGAATCTACTGCTACTGCAGGAGTTTGCACCTAAGAAAGAGCATATATACTGACACTCAAAGAACTTATAGCAGGTACAATAAAGATGGGCATAGGCTGAATTTTTTCAACAGTGACCAATTTTTAAATAAAGCAATGAATGATTACAAGGGAGGACGGCTGCAATTGAAAATCAAATGTGGTACTTGCATGTATGCTGCACTTCTTCTTCATGTTCACCAGCTGTAAACTCCTGTGGACAATTCTAGTTGTTCATCCACTTCTGGATTTGAGCCACGCTCTAGAACCTGAATTCTGCATCCACATCTATTTTACAAGTCTGGCTTATTTGTATGCAGACAGTTGTGCCTTGCAGAAGTATCTCTCAGGCAGAAGTATCCGATGTCGAAGGAAACCCCCTAATTATTTTACTCTTATGACATGCCTTTTAGGGAGGAAGTAGGCCTATTATTGTTTCCCCACAATGGGGCCCCAAAACCCACACAGGGAACAAGTGTAATATGATTAGGTTTTTAATTTTAAAAAATTTACAGAATTCCAGCCGGTTTGTGACCTCTTTTTTTAAGCATTTGCAGGGCAAATGTGTGCCAAGGGACCATCCTCTGTCCTATTTATCCTCCTAACATTGATTCATCACTGGCACTTTACCAGTCATCTAAGTGCAATTTTGATGATTTTCACCTAAGTGCATTTTCAGGATGGTTATCTTTATTATTTTAGAAAAACATGCACGACAATTCCTGCTCCAAACAGATCAAAGGGAAGTAGTTCTCTTCATACAATTACAAAATTTTCATTTGCCACTCGGGTCCAAAAGTGATTTTTCCTGAACATGGATTAAGCACTCGGATGACTGGTGTAGTCCAACTTTTTTTTTTTTTTTTTGGTCAAATAGATGGTGCTAGAATCTCCAGTTACCAGCTGAAGATCAATTGATCGTCTCTTGGTAAAGAGAGGTTAGGATATCCCTGTTCTTGATACAGTGATCATTCAGCTCTTATCTGACATAGCTGAGAAACTGTACCAGATTTTTTTTTTTTCAAAAACTGACCATACCCCGCCTAAAATACATACCATGTGATGTCCAGCGTGATGCTGACCACATGACCCACTGATCAATACAAACATGAATCTAGCATTCTGTGCCTGATAAGCCACTGATGTAAAAATGGTCCTGTGCTTACTCTTACTGACCAAGCTAAAAACAACACTTACATTTTCATTATCCCCTCTGAAAATGTACATCTGACCAAGGCCAAAGAAGGGCAGCACAAAATTGACAGGTGCAAACTGGGTAGACTGGTAGTAGTACTGGAAGGCCTGATCATAGTCCTCCTGGGGGAGATACAAACAAACACAATCAATGTAAACACAGACATTTTCTCTGGTTCCTTTTTTATTTATGGGACATATTTGCAGTCTGTTTACAAAACAGCTGCTACTTTAGCACCTTTAAGCAGAAAAATTAACTTATTACAGTGTCCACTGGAACCCACAAAGGAGGAAAAGAAACCCACATCACAGAAATAAGAAAGATAAGGAGGACATAGGGTGAGCTGTGTACTATAGCAAAGAATAGGATAACTTGGTCGAAGACCTACACTCCAATAAGGGATTCTTCTTCTTCTTTTGTCAAAATCTGCTTGTGCCGCTAGGCGTCGCAGTCTATCAGATGATCGGCAACCGAGCCAGGGCGCGCTCAGTCGCTTCATATGCCATGATGTTATGAAGTCTCAAGTTGTCCGTGACTCCTTCAATCCATCTTCTTCTTGGTCTTCCCCTGCCTCTTGTTGTTTCGATTTTCATGTTGTATGCTCTTGATGCTGGCATCGTTGGTTCCATTCTCATTAGGTGACCAAACCATTTCATTCTTTGCTTCTCAATAAATTTTACGATGGGTATGGTTCCAATAGTTCTTGTGATCACATCGTTTCTCACTCGATCTCTTCTGGTTTTATTCGCAGCCATTCTCAAACATCTCATTTCACAGGTGGTTAGTCTTCTCTCATGTTCTTTTGTTAATGTCCAAGTCTGACATTGATAACCTAATGTTGGTATAAAGATTGTATTTATAATTTGTCTTTTTATCTCAGCTGGGACAGCAGGGTGTTTTAAAATTGGGGCAAGCTGGTATGCGACATTGTTGGCTTGTTGGATTCTTGCTTCAATCTCTCTGTCTATTTTACCATTGGATGTAAAGATACTTCCCAGGTATTTAAATTCTTGCACTTGTTTTAGGCTGTGATCTAGAATCTTTATGTAGATGGTCTGTTGCTCTCTACTTATGCTCATGACTTCTGTCTTTTCAGTATTGATCTTCATATGATGCTTGAGGCAACTGTCGTGTAGTAGGTTCATGTGGTCTTGCAGCTGTTTACTATCACTGTGAAATATGCATTGATCGTCGGCAAAGAGCAGCTCATTGAAGTCCTCCTGTTTATCGACATCTGTTGGTGTTATGTCTATTTTATTAATATTGTCCATAAATATTATGAAAAGTAAAGGTATTAAGTGTAGAAAAAGGAAATCCACCTACATTAGAGAATTAGAGACAGAAATGGAGAGGATGCGGAATAAGCTGTAAAAAGGTTATAAACGGAATGAGACAGCAAAGGACAGGAAGACTTGGTGCTATTTGGTCGTGGACTAATGCAATATACTGGCATAATCGAGAGATTACATAAATCCTTCAAACAGGAGGGGCAAATGATTTTGCAATAACTTACCTGCACGTGAAATGCCCGAGCCAGCTGATATGTACTTTCTGCTCTCATGGCTTCACTTTCCGTGTTGTGAAAGGCATGCAGGGCTAAATGCTGAACTTTCTGATAGTCCTGTATGGATGGATAGATTAGGTTTTAGTTTCATCAAACAATTCCAGTAATATTTGACCTTTCAATCAATGTACAGTAAAACCTCATTATTACAAATTCAATGGGACTAAAAAATCAAGAGTTTGTGTTAAATAAATCTGTGTTAACTGGGGACCAACAATAATATATACCTACTAGAACCAAAATTTTGTTTATGTTAACAGTTTCCTTCTTAAGTGAGATTGTTAATTGGGTTTTACTGTAGTCTGTCTCCAATATTTGTTCTACATATATCTATATAGGCTAATAAATGGTGATCAGAATACCTCAAAGACAATAGGAGAAAACTAAATATTTATTTTATTTATCCTCATGGAGGCAAAGGCTTCCCATCAACATACGAATTTAAAGATTTTGAGGGAAGGTGACGTTTCCTATTTTGAACAAAATCTATTGTCTGAACTGCAATGAATTTGTACAGTATACCTCAGAGAAAAATATATTCTTATGATTTTGAATCTATTTCTCCAGCTCTATAGACAGAACGTCAGCTGTAGGCTCAATATGGCAGGTGCCTTAGTTTCATTCTCGATTTCATATCTCTCTAGTTGCTGCCCCTACAGATTCAATAAATAGTGTGGTACTTTTGTTTCTAGTGAAAACTGCCAATAACTGCCTTTATTACCACTTATGCCGTGTAGGCAACCGGTCTTTGACCATGAGGATTTAAGGGCCGCATGGCTAGTGCTGTCGCTACAACTATGCAGGTGAGGATTTTATTTTTTCCCCGACAGAAAAAATCTCCAGCCATGCCAAGGATTCAAACCCGGGTCTCCCGCTTGAGAGCCGAACATTCCAACCATTCGGCCAGCCGCTCCTCTGTGTTTCTAGTACAAGTTGCAATTCTGTATCTTCTTCCAAATTGAGAAAACAAGCTGTCATGTACCTGACACTAAATGACTAACCTTCTTATAAAAAAAATGGTTGGCCAGGTGGTTCAAAACCATGGGATTGGATGAATCAATTGTGTAAGCCTTGGACAACAGCTGCACACCATTCTTGATAGATTCCTGTGTCTTTGAATTCAGTTCCAGGACAGCAAGACCCACCAGAGCTCCCACACAATTGGGGTCCAACTGCAGGGCTCTCTCAAATGCCATTCTGGTTAAAAATTTAAGTATTTTAATTAATGCATGTTTAAATTACATTCATTGTAACTGTTTTTTCTTACAACATGGAATAGACTTATATAATGGTCTAGTCAGACTCAAATATAGCTATTTTAATAATATAATTTAAAGAAACAATATTGACACATATACTAACAATGTTTAAAAGACAATCTAAAATTATACTTGTCATTCCCCCCCCCCCCCTAAAATCAAATTTTTTTATTTACACTTTCTCATTCTTGTACAGGTAGCCACAGCAGCATTGTAGCTAGATGTTCGCATATCAGCCCAAAAGTCATGAGTTCAAATCAACATAGGAAAAGAATTTTTGTTTAAACTGACTTTGGCTTCCAGGTTGACGACCCAGCCTACAGGGGTACCAGAAAAGGTCCTGGGAAGTAAAGGTGGCAGGTTTGATGTTGACCACATTAACCATCAAGTACCAATTGGTCTAGAAAAATAAAGGTCTACAACTATATTCTGATGCACCGAAAGGTCCTTTACTTGACTCCTGTATCAATTAACTGTGTGGGTTCCGGGGCCCTATTGTGGGGAAAACAAGAATAGATCTACTGCCTTCCCAGCTAGCATGTCGTAGGAATCAACTAACTTGGGACTTCCTTTGAAGTTAGCGTGCATCTGCCCGAGCAGCAGGGAACAACCAACTGCACACAAATAAGTCAGTAAAACAGATGTACACGCAAAACTCAGGCCCTGGCACAAAGCCAAAGTCCATATGGACGAACAAGAAGGACTTTCCGCCAGAGCTTACAGCTGGTGAACAAAGAAGAAGAATTAATTTTTACCAGGATGTGGTTCAAAGAACAGTTTTTCAAACAGTTAACTGAAATGTTTATTTCCTCTTTTATTTTTCTTAACATTGTTTAACACAACTGAACAAAATCGCACAAGAACCTTTCATCTATCTGTCTCTAAATTCGGCAAGGGTAGAGACGTGAGAATAATCTCATAAAACAAGACAAAGTAATCCATATCAATGCTAATGTTGCCCATAAGCTTAACAATATTTTTAAAAAATAACAAAGTCAACACAGAATGAACCTTACCTAGCTTTTGCTAAGCGATTCAGCTTCACAAAACAATGGCCCATGCCTAGACGAACTGATGCTGGACAGGTAGGGTTTGTTCGCAGGGCTTTCTTGTAGTATGCCAAGGCACCTCTGTAATCTTTCTTATTGAAGGCAATGCATGCCTTGCCCAGCAGTGATGGGATGTTGTTGCTGGACTAAGATAGAACATCATAAATAATACACGACTGTCCTTGATGAAACAGTACCAACGTTAAGTATATAAAAGATCCTTTTACACCAGGTCTGCATAAGTCATATCAGGCCAGACCCATATTTTTACAAACTGACTGGTACTCAATGGGTGATTTAGTGAACATCATCGATGCTGTCTTTACTTCCCAAGAGATTTCTTGCCACCCATTTTAGGCTCAGTCAATATGTGAGTCAAGGTCAATAATAAATCAAATCCACTCCAATCAGATTAGCGTCGATGATGAGGAAAAAAAATAGTTAAATTAACTGGACTGATACACAGATAACATCATTACTTTCAACTGAATTGTTATAAATTTGTCTTCTATGCTGTCATATAAAAAACTAACTACTTTGATATACTGTCACATATTTATAGTAGATATCTCCTGCATGAACTATGAGTGAGGTGTGGATCCTACATGAACTGTGAGTGAGGTGTGGATCCTGCATGAACTGTGAGTGAGGTGTGGATCCTGCATGAACTGTGAGTGAGGTGTGGATCCTGCATGAACTGGGCGGTGTGTATCCTGCATGAACTGTAAGTGAGGTGTGGATCCTGCATGAACTGTAAATGAGGTGTGGATCCTGAATGAACTGTGAGTGAAGTGTGGATCCTGGATGAACTGTGAGTGAGGTGTGGATCCTGCATGAGCAGTGAGTGCGGTGTGGATCCTGCATGAACTGTAAGTGAGGTGTGGATCCTGCATGAACTGTGAGTGAGGTGTGGATCCTGCATGAACTGTGAGTGAGGTGTGGATCCTGCATGAACTGTGAGTGAAGTGTGGATCCTGCATGAACTGTGAGTGAGGTGTGGATCCTGCATGAGCTGTGAGTGAGGTGTGGATCCTGCATGAAAGTATGTATTAGAGTATGTGTGTATATTCAGTGTGCTACTGGAACAATCAACACTTTGAGACTGCTGGGGGAGAGGGAATCTCCATGGGTATAGCTGATATGCTATGATGTAGATTCTGAAATCAGTATTCACTATTAACTCTTTCAGTACTAGGCGGATGTCGCCGAAACTCGTTATATTCTAAGAAACTATTACTTTATATTTAAGAGGCAAAAATCACACCATGATAAAGAAGGATTTAAAGCAACAAGCGGAGCAGAGCAAGTTACTTTATAGGGAACAAAGGGTTCAAAATAGTTTACGATGCGAGAGAGCTTAACTCGCTTGGTAACAAGTGAATCAGAAGTTACTACTAAAATACTGGGACTGAAACTCAGATTTACAAAACAATCTGACTCACCTGATTCAAGACAAAGTTGAACTGTGCATCAGCCTGGTCCATTTTATCCCCTTCAAGCAGGCAAAAATAAGCACGACCCAGCAAGTGATTCTACACAAATCCAGAAACAAAATGATCACATATTATAAAACATACAGACTGCCAAGTCTAACAACGCTAATGTTAACATACGTGGCCATAGCAAGTATATGTGTCAAATGATGACGACGAAAGTAAGGGAAGAAATAACAACAGGTATAAGTCTGAACCACAGTAACTCCTGCAATGACCCTGTAGTCCTGTCTAGATAATGAGACAGTCATAGCTGCAGGTTTTCAGTGCTTCAACAATTAGGGGCATCTCAGAGAAGTCATTATGGTACGTACAGCATGATGGTGTCCGAAGCTGACATGTCTGAATGGAGCAGTGATGTCCTAGAGGTGCACGCAGTAAGAGTGTCCCCTCCCCCCCCCCAGTTCACAATTGCCAATGTTTACCCTGGTAATGGGAAGGTCGATGTGTGGCAGTGGCAGCATTTGTTTTTACCCAGGGAAGTAAATATCATTGATTGTGGAGTCTTTAACGCCAGAGGCAGCCAGTGGGGTAATATCATCATCAACAAACTGGGGTAGATCTGGAGGAGGCCCTGGTATCTGCTGAGCTGATAGGTTTGAACGACCGACAAATCACTAGATTAGCCACTCGACAAGGTGACTCTGACAGCGCAATAGACTAGGCTCTAGTGTCGCCCACCATCGCCCCTGTTTGTAGGTGGAGTACACTGGGGTACCACGATAGAACCACATGCTTTGTGATGTCTTGGTTGAGAAGAGCAGACAAAATACAGAATAAATACTTTCCAGTATGACAGCACAAGAGGCCATCAGCAACGTTAGATGCTGCAAATTAAATACCTCCCATAATTGAAAAGTGTTTAAAAAAGAAAAATAACTGATGCAAACAACATGAGATGACTAAGATTAAAAGGATCTGTCATGAGGTGCTTGAGAATCTACACTCATAAAGGCAGACATAGAAAAAAAAGGCATTCTCAACCGTTACTGTTATTAAACATAATGTACGAGCAATTTGATTAAATTTTTGTGCCACCCCACGAGGAGTTACCTTTTCATTTAGAGGCAAGCATGCACACATGAAGTGGCATGCGTGCAGTGTACAAAGAAACAAAGACAATGGATAATAATATTTCCGTTAGCAACAGTTATGGCATTTTTCAGCTGGAGATTAGCTACCTGTAACACCATTATTTAGCTTCAGTGATCAATAGAATAGGAGGTAGTCATACATATATGGTTGCCCTAGTCACATAACGTATTTGCCAAATTTTAGTGTGGCCAATAGTAAACATGAAGTCTACCTAAAATAGGCAAATATCACTCGAACAAGGACCTAAAAAAAAAAAACAAAGACGGAGAAGTTAATGTTTTAGAAAGACAACTATGTAGACATAAAATACGCAAGTTGGTTTAGAAGCAAGCTTTCGTCAAGTCTATTGGCTTTCTGATGTAAAGTTTTCTGAAAGAAGGATCGAAGAGGAAGAGGAGACAATAAACAAGTTATGTTTCCTTTACCTGATCATACATAATGATTCTGTCTGCAGTTGTGTACAGCAAGGTTGCCTTCATGAACAGTTCTCTCTTTCTGTCTTTGTTTTTCTCTTTGTGAGCCTGCTGCACATAGTAGGCAGCCAATGTATCCAAAGACTTCATCTGGTCCTTCTCAAAATTAGAATAATCCAGGCTAGCATCGGTTCGAGAAGCCTCCAAGATCTTCACAAAGTCATCTGCTGAGCCTTGCTTCCAATATTCCAACTGAAAAAATACAAACCAAAGAAACTTGCTGCACAAGATTCTTAACAATCGGTTAATACAAAAGAAGTCATTACTTTTAGAAAATCTGTATAATGATAATACCGGGTAGGAATGGAACAGAAACATACGAAAAGAATTACTAATCAAATAAAAATAGATACACGTGTGTATTCTTCTTCCTTTTGTTCGTCCGAGTGATGTAATTGTGTTGCGCCTGTTTACAGCAGATCAGCTATATTCTGCATTTTTCGGCCGACACATCCAACTTCGTTGCACATTTGCTGACTGGGTTAACTTCCTGGGACAAAATGTACACTTATTTGTGTTGTCTCCTCTTTATCCCCTTATCTACATGTGTTGCCCCTAGAGAACCTGTCCAGGGCAACTGCGTGTAGACTGGTTGGTCTTCAAGGGATGGCAGCGGTAGATCATGAGCATTACTCACCATCCAAGAACACTTCCATAAATGCAAAGCCGACACACAACTCTCTGGTCCTGGGCCTACCCTACCCAAGGAATCGTCATGGCACAAACGTATCAACTGGTGCTGATGTTCAACAGAGGGAATTAAGTGGTACCAGAGTCACTAATGTGGAGCCTTGTAGAGAGAAAAAAAACTGCAAGTGAGGAAAAGACACTAGCTCTGGATAGGTCATACACTGAAAAAAACCTGGTAATCAAATAATTAGAATTCCCTTGAACTGTAACCAACAGGACCAAAGAAATAGAAAGAAAATCAAAAGAGACATGGAGAAAGAGTTAAATAAACAATATGGTGGTAAATATTGCTACGTATACAGGGTGTTAGTTTTTCAGATATTATAGGCCAGGGCTATTTATTAGTGGCCTGAGAGCCAAATCTAGCAAGCAGCAGAAGGTCTAGCAAGTGGCCCGCAGATCACTGCCAACTCTATCGTCTCAGTGATCTTTCTATGCTGGAGCTTTAGTTTCTGGCCCATGACGATCCTCATTTTCAACACTTTGGCCCCTGAGTAAACTTACTTGAACAGCCCTGTTACAGGCTACAGCAAAATAAAGCAGGAATAGCTAGTTCCCTTTATCAGTGTTTTTCCTTTTCAGACAATCTTCTTCTTCTTTGTGTTTACCAGCTGTACACTCTGGCGTAAAGTTCTGGTTGTTTGTCCACTTCTGGACTGCAGTCATGCTCCAGAACCTGAGTGTTGCATGTGCATCAGTTTTACAGATCTGATTCAATTGAATGCAGACTGCTGGTTCCTTGCCTCTCAGGCAGATGCACTCCGACTTCAAAGGAAGCTCCCCAGTTAGTCGACTCTTACGACATGCTTTTGGGGAGGCAGTGGGTCTATTCTTGTTTTCCCCACAATAGACAATCTTCTAAAATTTAGTGCCTATTTCATAAGGCGAGACAAACTAAGAGCCATAAAATGTAAAGACATATTTTTTTTTTAATCTCTACACTGCAAGAAAGTGAACTAGTAAGCCAGGGTGGCTGCTATACATTAATTAAGGACACTACATACTTACAGCCAAAGTAACCCAGATATGCAGTGGAGCCACCTCCTGCTTCAGGATACTCAACACCTCCTCTCCTTCTGGCAGCTGATCCAAATCAAGTTCTATAACCTGAAATTATTTGGTATCATAGCACAGGTTTATACAAAAAAACTAATAGGAACATTTCACTGACTCAGAATAAACATGTTACCTCCAAAGTTGAAACCCACAAGAAGAAACATGTTTGCTAATCATAAGCTGAATAGTTCTGCTCTCTCTCTCTTTCTCTCTCATACACACACACACATAGTAAGCATTTTTATTTTCATTACGGGGATCTCAATTGAATCAAGAGACAATGGAGGTGATCCAAACTTGAATCTGACATCAAAAACTGGATAATATCATTAGTTTCCTCTGTTCATCTCAAAATAACACATTATGCTGTTTATATTAATTTTTAATTTATGGCATGAGTAACCTGCTAGCTATCAATAAATTATTTTTGCTAACTGTAAAATATTTCCCATGGTTCAACTAGTATAAAATGTGTATTGAATTGTAAATGTAAATGGTACCAGCCAGTGCATTAAGGTTTCCAAGATCTAACACTAACAGCCTATGCAGGTAACATCACATGGCTGAGAGAGAGAAAATGAGAGTTTCACTACCACTAAAAGTTAAATTCATTACTGATTTATATTTAAGAACTATTATGACAGTAAGATCTCCCTGAGCACTGGGTTGGAGTCCTGAGTCCACTGACTATGAAAATATAAATAACTACAACTCTGGTATCATGCTAGGTAGGCTCAAAGCAGCAAGACTGTATGCACTGTACTGAGTCATGACCTGTTGTTGATATGCACCATCTGCAGATGTTGAACTCCTGCAGAGTACAAGCCTTGAGACTGCTGGCTTCTGAACTAAGTCTGAACTTGGAGAGAGGAAGAAGAGCTTTGCTGGTATGCACAGGTTATCATATCATTATGTCTATATAATGTGATCATAGATCATAATGATACTTAAATACTTTGGTGCCTGGTCGGTGGAAAGTTTCCCAACTTAACTTAATTCAGATAGACGCAAGCCATTAGTATGATTTAGACGACATGATGCCAATGCGCCTTCTAAGAGTTATTATCTTCTCCAGATAATTCACAAAGCAGCAAGCAAGCAACCACCCATGAGAACAACACAAGATAAACATAAAATAAAGGAACGAATGTTGATCCTCACGAAGTATAGAATGTCCGACGCCACTTGTCAGGTCTCACAGTTATGGGGAAGATGGACAATATTACACCAAATTTTTTTTTTTAAACACTGATACTGTACCTCATCCGTGTCTCTTAAAGGAATTTCTATCGAGCCTGACGACGAGGATGCCATTCTGGTGGCTTTTCCAGACAATGTCTGCTAGCAGATCCACAACCTTCTGCTTGTGAATTGACTCCACTTCCTTTAGGCTTTTTCCTTTAGGCTTGCTATGCAATTAAAAACGTTGCTGCGACTCAAGTGTAACGACTGAACGCAACGAGACAAATAAACGAATTCCTTTAAGACGTCCAATATTACCAGCATAATAAAACTGAAGTATTTTCAGCTGTGGTTTATTTTAAAAAAATTATAACACTTGTTTCTTATTGTCTTTTTTTTTTTTCTACTACTTTTAATCTATGCAAATATCAAGAATCTCCCCCGTACCTACTCTCTATGTTGCCGCAAGCTGGCTTGTGTATACATTGAAAAGCACTGGGGAAATGGTGATACCCTGTGGGAGATCAGGTGCAATCAAAATTAATAAAACCTCACCCACTTTTTGCTTTTACCTCTCACTACAGACCGATTTGTGCATATAATGATGTCTCATGGGCGTGTATTTTCATTGATCAACTCTTGCACCGATGCCTGTTTCACCAGCTATCCACTCCCGACACCCTCGGTCCAAGGTAAATATCACTTTGTGTAAGTCTATTTTGCTGGGCGGCACTGTAACCCGTTCTTCATTCATCATGCACTATCTTGTCAGTAGCACAAACAGTTCTGATTGTGACTTCTGCCTGTGCCATCCATGAGCTACCTCTTTTCAGCCGATGTCTCTTGCTATCCCCAAGGTCTCAGGTTCCCTGTCCGTTACAACTTTAAGGTACATTTTCGCCTTGTATCTTTCATATACTGAGGGTAATGCAAGTATGTGCCGCATGCATACAATTGGTGTGTCCAGTATACACCCCGAAATGACCCGCGTGGTGCAGATTTTGGTTGGGTTTTTCAGCCGCCATGGTGGACCAGAGATGGAGCAAGCATGGAAAGAAAAGGGGTAGCCATAAAATAATGGCAGCGAGTACGAAGGTTGACACTAAGCTCGCAAGAGGAGGGGGAACAGTAGAAGACATAATTAAAGATTAGATTACAGACTTCAAGATGTGCGCCAGAATTGCTAAAAAGTGAAACTGGAGCAGCGCACTTGAGGGAGACAGAAAAAAGAGCCGAAAGGTCCACCTCAGTTGCTACGATATACTGTGAAAACGGCAAGGTATTGACAACAGATAGTAAGGAAAGGGGGGGGGGATAAGGCTGACTGGTCTATAGTTGGAGGCAGTGGAACTGTCTGTCAGGTTTTATGAGGGGTATCATAATTGCTTTACTCCAGATCCGTGGAACTTTCTCTGCTGTCCAGCAAACATTAAATACATGTAAAAAGCTGGTTTTTTGGCAGTTGTTACTAGGTTATTGATCATTTCATTTGTTCCTGTTTTGAAATAGCTGACACCAGTTGTTCACTAAATGTAATCGGTACCTCTAGTGTTATTTCTTTCTGACTTACGTTTTGTCTTGTTCTTGACTCTCTTGGTTTTTTATTTTAATTTTTTAGAAGTGATTTCAATGTTGTTATCTTGAATAATACTATCTACAAAGAGGTAGGTTAGCTACCTTTCTGTGACCATGTTTCTATCTTTCTGCAGCGTGATCTTTGAGTTCCACAATGTACCCTCATTATTATGTTTTACTAGCTTCCGTAACTTTCTTGTGTCTTTTTCAAAGTTGAGGGACCTTGTTTTCTCCTGCCAGCGTTCCCTTCTAGTCTGCAGCTTTGCCCTTACAAATTGTGCTTTTGCACGCTGATAGTTATTATGATGTTCTTGTTTTGTCCTGGTCTATTCTTTCTTCCTGGATGTTTCCACTTCGTTATGTAAATTCTCAAGTTCACTGTTCCAGTATGGCTTATAGTGCTTACAGGCACCTCTTGGTATTTATTTTCCTGCTGCCTGTAGTAGGCCTATGCATTTGTTGAATTCTTCAACTACTTTGTTTATATCCTGGTATATACTAAGATTTCCAACCAGTATGCTGATACGGTGCTTGTACATTGTTCAGTCAGCCTTTTTGTAGTTACACCTACCCCTTAATCCAGTTATCTCCTTGTGAGATGCAATTTTTCTTTATTTTGAAGCCCCACCCTGGCTCTTGCCAGGGGCCGCAATATAGCCCGACCATAAATATGGTCTAATGGCTGAACACGGTTTCTGGGACCTCTCCACGGGTGATCCTCCTCCACATGGTGGAACTTTGTGTCATCGGGTGTTTATCGCTTGTGTGATATCCTAGTGGAGTAAAAATCTAATATAATCTAATCTAGTTACACCTTGACATACTAGTTTCTCTGACCGTCTCATTTTCTACAGTTAGGAGGACTGGCCGATGGTCGCTGCCTCCTAGTCATTTTCCAACACCTCGTATAAAGCTCCATTCCAGATCTGGAGAATTAAATGCTACGTCTAGTGTAGTAGTAGTGTGCCACAATCTCGAGTAGAAGGTGGTCAGATCAGCTGTTCTCGACATGCTCATCCTCCGGTTTTTCTCTCCTCTCTGATCTGTATGGTCGTACCCCCAGCTTTATGAATGGCTGTTGAAGTCTCCATACAGAATCATCTCTTCTTCTACTGAGATTATGTATAATGCCTGGGGACGACCACTTAGGCGGTAATAATTGGTAAGATGAAAATCTGCATTTCCAGTTTGTAGTTTTAGAATCTGATATTCTGCTTCTTTCATATATACTTCAGTCTTGCACGTAGTGATTCTGTTCCTTACTAGAGTCAGTATTCCACCCTTTCGTTCTGCCTTTTCGGTCTGATCGAAAGCACTGACAGCCTCTGATTTTGACGACTGTAACCTCAGTGAGGTGGGGTTTTTTGTAGACAGCACATAGGTAACTATTCCTCATTCAACAACTTTTTAAAAATTGTAACCCCTCCGCATTCCAGTTCATTAATTTGACTACTTTCTTAGTTCGGCCAGATGCTCTATCCTTATGCTTTATGGCTCCACAGGACATCTTAGTACCTCCAGTATTTTGGGTTGTGCCTCTTCGAGTTAGAGGGCCCGGCACTGAGAGTCCATCACACGGCGTGTGTGCGTGGCATCCTGATTGCTGTAGTGCACCTCCTGGCTGGAGGAGCCATTCTGGTTTTACGGCGCCAGATATTCGCCGTCACCCCCTCACCTATCGATTTAACCCCTTGTTTAACAAACTCTGGCCGAATGATTAGAACGCTGAGCTCTCAAGCAGACGAATCTTCGGTAAGCCTGGGGATTTTTTGTTTGTTTGTCGGGGGCAAAATAAAAACCTCACCTGCACAGTCGTGGCGACAATACTAATCATTCGGTTGTAAATCCACAGGCTCAAAGACCCCCCTGCCTACACCGCGAAAGTGGTATATTATTAAAAGATCTGAACATCAAGGAAGATTGGCTAATAAACAGCATCCTGTCCCGGAAGCTGAAATATTTTGGTCATATCAAGCGCCACGACGAATTGGAAAAAGTAATAGCAGAAGGCATCGAACCAGGAAGGAGGAGCAGTGGCCGACCAACACGAAGATGGGCACAGGATATAAGTGACTCCTTGAGTATGAAAGTGCACGAGACGGGAGAGCTAGTGAGAGACCGAGCTTCTTTCAGTCAGACTGTGATGAGAGCGACGTTCTACAAAGGACCTGCTACATGATGATGAATTGACAGTTTCCCAAACTTTTTGGTCCACCGCACCTTTTTCAGTGGAAAAAAAAAATCACCTAGCGCTGCCAGCCGGGGAAATACCATTATCGTGTGCCGCGTCGATATGCATTTCAGGGAATCATTCGTTATCCTGCTCGAGATCATTCCTTGCCTTGAAATCTAAATTCTGTAATTAAACACACAAAAAATGATATAATGGCAGATTTGCTCTGTATCGCCCCCTACCCTCCTTTTTTTTTCCTGCCACGTCTTCTTAAAACATGACTGGTCTGTAATTTTGATAGTCTTCTCCCCAGTTCAGCTTCATATATTGTTTTAAGAGTGTCTTTTGCGTTTTCAAACTCTGAGACAGATGGGGCTGCATAGGATTTCCTGTAGCCTTCGTAAGCTCTGCCTTTCCATATCTACGGATCCATCATCATCATCATGTGCCCTGCCAATGGCGTAGGTGCTCATGCATCTCCACAGATCACGATCCCTGGAACAGCTGGTGATATCCCTCCATGTCATCGTTTTAGCCCATCCAGCACCATCTCTCTTGGTCTACCTCTAACCCCTTTTCCACTGATCTTTTTTGACTTGGTTAAGTCTTTTTCCTTCAATTTAGATATCACAATGTGGAGTTATCTTCTTCTTTGATATAACCATTACTTTGTTTTCTTAATATTCAATGAAAGTCCTTTCTTGGCACTCTCCATCCCCACAATATCCAGGAGTTGTAAATTAGTTGCATTTTCAGCTATCAAAACTGTATCGTCTGCATAATGCAAATTGTTTACATTGTACCCTCCAATTCTTACTCCTGCATTCTCTTTAATTTCCCTCAAAATTATTTTACTATATAGAGAGAAAAGGTCTGGGGATACGACACCTCCCTGTCTTACTCCTTGCTTTATCTGTTCAAAAGTACCCAGTCTGTTTCCTACTTTAATTGCTGCTACTTGGTTCCAGTAAATGTTTTTAATTAGTCCTTTTGTGTGTCCATAGATCTTGCTATCAGTGTCCCTTACTTGTCCCTTTACCTTCCATAAATCCATACTGCTCTTTACTCATTTCCAGTCTTATTTTTCTTCTTGTTTTTCTTATTATATTCTAAGTAGTAATTTGGTGCCATGATTTATTTAGGCTGATTGTACGACATTCTTCACATTCAATTGCTCCTGATCTTTTGGGTAACGCAATAGATACAAATTTCATCATATCACTTGGAATGTACCCAGTGTTATAAATGTCATTCATCAGTTAATATTTCTACCCCAAATTCCCACAGTACTTCTAATTCTTCTACTGAAATTTCATTTGGCCCAGTTGACTTTCCTTTCTTCATATGTTTAATAGCATCGCTAACTTCTTCCTTTAGTATAGAC